CTAGGCTTGCGGTTACACAACTGGACGGGCTCCGGTTACACAACTGGTCGGACTCCGGTTACACAACTGGTCGGGCTCCGGGGGTGTCACTTGGGCCTCGGGTTGTGCATGGTCGGGCTTCAATTCATGCATGGTTGTGCTCCAGGGGTTGTTTGTGTACTAGTGCTCCAGGTTTGTTTGCTAGGGCTCTATGGTTATATGTTTGCTAGAAATCCGGGTTTCTTTTTTTTCGTATATAGCTATTTTTTTTGTTTTGTTTGCTATGGCTTGATAGTTGGTTTCTAGGGCAAGGGGAGGGTTTTACGTAGGGCTAAAGAGATTTTTGTTTGGTCAAGCTAGGAATGGGGTTTGGTTGGGATCTGGGGCTATTTAGCTTAGTGGAGGGGTTAGATGAGATGTATACTTGCTAGGCTTGCGGTTACACAACTGGACAGGGTCTGGTTACACAACTGATCGGGCTCCGGTTACACAACTGGTCGGGCTCCGGTTAAATAACTGGTCGGGCTCCGGTTACACAACTGGTCGGGCTCCGGTTAAATAACTGGTCGGGCTCCGGTTAAATAACTGGTCGGGCTCCGGGGGTGTCACTTGGGCTTCGGGTTGTGCATGGTCGGGCTTCTGTTCGTACATGGTTGTGCTTCAGAGATTGCTTGGTTCGTTCATGCTAGGCTTGCGGTTACACAACTGGCTGGGGTCTGGTTACACAACTGGTCGGGCTCCGGTTACACAACTGGTCGGGCTCCGATTAAATTACTGGTCGGGCTCCGGGGGTGTCACTTGGGCTTCGGGTTGTGCATGGTCAGGCTTTGGTTCATGCATGGTTGTGCTCCAGGGGTTGTTTGTGTACTAGTGCTCCAGGTTTGTTTGCTAGGACTCTATGGTTATATATTTGCTAGAAATCCGGGTTTCTTTTTTTCGTACATGGCTAATTTTTTTGTTTGCTATGGTTCCATAGTTAGTTTCTAGAGCAAGTGGGGGGTTTTAGGTAGGGTTAACTAGATTTTTGTTTGGTCGAGCTAGGAATGGAGTTTGGTTGGGATCTGGGGCTGTTTAGCTTGGTGGGGGTTAGACGAGATGTATACTTGCTAGGCTTGCGGTTACACAACTGGACGGGCTCCGGTTACACAACTGGTCGGGCTCCGGTTACACAACTGGTTGGGCTCCGGTTAAATAACTGGTCGGGCTCCGGGGGTGTCACTTGGGCTTCGGGTTGTGCATGGTCGGGCTTCTGTTCGCACATGGTTGTGCTTCAGAGATTGTGTGGTTCATTCATGCTAGGCTTGCGGTTACACAACTGGCTGGGGTCTGGTTACACAACTGGTCGGGCTCCGGTTACACAACTGGTCGGGCTCCGGTTAAATAACTGGTCGGGCTCCGGGGGTGTCACTTGGGCTTCGGGTTGTGCATGGTCAGGCTTCTGTTCGTACATGGTTGTGCTTCAGAGATTGTTTGGTTCGTTCATGCTAGGCTTGCGGTTACACAACTGGCTGGGGTCTGGTTACACAACTGGTCGGGCTCCGGTTACACAACTGGTCGGGCTCCGGTTAAATAACTGGTCGGGCTCCGGGGGTGTTACTTGGGCTTCGGGTTGTGCATGGTCAGGCTTCGGTTCATGCATGGTTGTGCTCCAGGGGTTGTTTGTGTACTAGTGCTCCAGGTTTGTTTGCTTGGGCTCTATGGTTATATGTTTGCTAGAAATCCGGGTTTCTTTTTTTCGTACATGGCTAATTTTTTTTGTTTGCTATGGCTCCATAGTTAGTTTCTAGAGCAAGTGGGGGGTTTTAGGTAGGGTTAACTAGATTTTTGTTTGGTCGAGCTAGGAATGGAGTTTGGTTGGGATCTGGGGCTGTTTAGCTTGGTGGGGGTTAGACGAGATGTATACTTGCTAGGCTTGCGGTTACACAACTGGACTTGCTCCGGTTACACAACTGGTTGGGCTCCGGTTACACAGCTGGTCGGGCTCCGGTTAAATAACTGGTCGGGCTCCGGGGGTGTCACTTGGGCTTCGGGTTGTGCATGGTCGGGCTTCTGTTCGCACATGGCTGTGCTTCAGAGATTGTTTGGTTCGTTCATGCTAGGCTTGCGGTTACACAACTGGCTGGGGTCTGGTTACACAACTGGTCGGGCTCCGGTTACACAACTGGTCGGGCTCCGGTTAAATAACTGGTCGGGCTCCGGGGGTGTCACTTGGGCCTCGGGTTGTGCATGGTCGGGCTTCGGTTCATGCATGGTTGTGCTCCAGGGGTTGTTTGTGTGCTAGTGCTCCAGGTTTGTTTGCTAGAGCTCTATGGTTATATGTTTGCTAGAAATCCAGTTTTCTGGATTTCTAGCAAATCTGGGGCTGTTTAGCTTGGTGTGGGTTAGACGAGATGTATACTTGCTAGGCTTGCGGTTACACAACTGGTCGGGCTCCGGTTACACAACTGGTTGGGCTCCGGTTACACAACTGGTCGGGCTCCGGTTACACAACTGGTCGGGCTCCGGTTACACAACTGGTCGGGCTCCGGTTACACAACTGGTCGGGCTCCGGTTAAATAACTGGTCGGGCTCCAGTTACACAACTGGTCTGGCTCCGGTTAAATAACTGGTCGGGCTCCGGGGGTGTTACTTGGGCTTCGGGTTGTGCATGGTCGGGCTTCGGTTCATGCATGGTTGTGATCCAGGGGTTGAATGCTAGTGCCTTATGTTTCTTTGCTAGATAATGTTTTTTTTCTTTGCTATGACTAAGTGCATGTTTATTTTCTAGAGCCCCTTTGTTGTATTTTTGCAAGAGTTTGTAACAGTTCTAGTAGCGAGTAGATTATCCCAATAATATACTCGCTCCAAATGTATACTCCATTGTTAATATTCCTGTCAACCTTTGGAGATGAATGAGGTGAGGCATTGCCCGGGCAACTCGGTGAGGTGTTGCCCGAGCAATGCCTCACCTCATTCATCTCCAAAAGTTGACAGGAATATTAACAATGGAGTATACATTTGGAGCGAGTATATTATTGGGATAATCTACTCGCTACAAGTTCCAGGTTTCTTTTCTGTATGGGGTTCAACTGTTTGTTTGCTTTGGCTCCAAAGTTAGTTGTTAAGGCAAGGAGGTGGCGGGTGGCTCTTAGGTAAGGCTAAGGAAGGGTTTGTTTGGTAGAGCTAGAGAGGGAGTTTGGTTGGGCTCTTTGGCTATTTGTTTGGCTTGGTGTGGCCTGGATGAGTTGTTTGCACGCTAGGCTTGCGGTTACACAGCTGGTTGGGCTTCGGTTACAAAACAGTTCGGGCTCCGGTTACGTAACTGGTCGAGCTCCAGAAGGGTCACTTAAACTTCGGGTTGTGCATAGGCGGGCTTCGGATGTTGATTTAGGTTGTTCATGCTAGACTTGAGGGTACACAACTGGTTGGGCTTGCATTTGGACAACTGGTCAGGCTTGTGTTTACACAACTGGTCAGGCTTGCGTTTACACAACTGGTCAGGCTCTGGTTACACAACTAGTTCGGCTCCAGGGGTGTAACTTGGGCTTCAGGTTGTGTATTTGGGCTTCGGTTCATGCATGGTTGTGCTTCAGAGGTTTTGTTTGGTTCGTTCATGCTAGTCTTGCAGTTACACAACTGGTCGGGGTCCGGTTACACAACTGGTCAGGCTTCGGGGTGCACAATAAACTACCACTCGCTGGTTGAATATGGGATGCATAATGAACTAACCACCTCTGGCGTCAAAAAATCAATGAAGTGTGCAACTACGGTCTAGTTGCAAATATTGTATTGTTTGCACCACCTTGAATCTATTTGTTCTGTAATAAGAGACAATTAGCCCTCGCTGATAGATAATAATAAGATATACAACATTATAAGCTGTGCGCTAAGCACGTCAGCCCACATTTAATATCTATATAAGAATAATAATAGTAATATTTATTCAGGTAAAAGTAAATACAATACATTCAGAGTTACAAGCAGAATGGATTTCTAGATAAAACTAGTACATATGCCTAATTAAGCCACTAAAACGCAGTGTTTCGGGCATCTACCTATAATGATTTTAGTATAGATATTTTGATATGATTTTGCAATATGAAAGATGTTAAGATAAACTTATTTTCTGACGAGGGGGAAAAAGACACAGGCCGAATGGGCTTAAATTTTTTATTAGTAAATTAAATTCTGCAGAACATGTAAATAATATAAGTAGGAATTAACAAATGTAACATGTCCATGTCTGAGGACTAATTAACTTGAAATGTACCCCCGTAGTAGTAAGCATAGCCTAGACATGGCAAACATGTTCTGCAGAAACCTAATGGCAGATGAAATATAATTAGAACTAGGTATAACAGTCAGGACACAAAGGGGGAATAAAGTGTATAGACACAACACAACAAGTTTCGAGTACTGCGGCGGTCGGGAGAAAGTGAGGGAGAGCCCCTCTCTGCCTCAGAATTTATATGGCCCCAGACTTCCCGCGCATCTGCGCGGGGCGCACTGCGCAACTGTCTTTGTCCCCCTCTTCAGAAACATCTCCGCTTTGTATTTCAAAGCAGAGGCCATTTAATTCATTCAATTGTATAAGGATAAATCGCCTCGCAGATCTGAAAAATACTTCTGTATTATTATAATATAATACACTCATGTGCCATCTTATTATTCACAATTTTAACTTATTCTCAATTTCTATTGGGCATTTTTTTTTTATCTTGAAAGACGAGAACCGAAGCGAACACACGCCAGCGCATATATGTGTTTTGTATTTGCGTTTTTGTCTACAACACATACAGTACATGCGTTTTTGTTTACACCTCGTGTATACAAAAGGGTTTCTCTGTTTGTGAACGAACTGGACTTTTGTGTACTGAACCGACGCCCTCCAAACCGATTATATACGATTCGACCCGTCTCCGATTGGCTGTTTGTCGAGCTTCAGGCATGTGGCTGGTCGGCCATTATTATTATATATTATTATCTTGTACCATCTGATTACTCGCATTAACTTAGCAAATTCTATCGTCTCATTTCGGTTATATTATTGCCTTGGAAAACGAGAACAGCAAGGGACATACGCCAGCTTAATGTGTGTACGAAAGGGTTCCTGTATGTACCTCCAGTAGGGGAGAAGATGGCGGCCATCAGGTGGCTGAGGCCGGCGGTGCTGGCCTCCAGGACCCTCTGCGGTGGTGGTGAGACACTTCATACATTAATTGTAGCACCGTAATGATGGTGTAGCTCGTGTGTGTGGCTGGGTAATGTGTCCGGTGCAGTGTGGCCGCGTTATGGCGTCTCCCTGGCTAGTGTGGAGGACTGGCCAGGGGTGCAGGGAGGCTGGCTAGGGGTGTGTGGGGGCTACCACCACACACGGACACTGTCTACACTAAACAAATGGAACACTGTGTAAAGTGAGGCAGTGGAGCCAGTCTCCATACACAGCTTCAAATATAGACGTGACAAACCCATATAGGCTCGGGAACAACAACAACATTGGGGGTTTAAAGGCGGGGCCACAGAGCAGCCTATTTTGCACAATTAGGCAAGTTCTACTCCTCCACCCAACCCAACCCACTCGTGAGCCTATCTAATCTAGATCCACCTACACCTTTCCCACCCACCCTCCTTTTACCCTACCCTTTTCTCCATCCCCAAAGACTGGGGAAAAATCTGAGAGTAAATTCATTAAGCCAAAAAAGGTTGACACAACGTCTGCAGTGCATGCAAAGCCTTCTGGGGTACAAATCTCGAGCTATATGTACAACCTACATAACACTTAACCTCGATTATGCAGTTCTAGCTAGGAATTTATCTAAAATAAAACTTAAATCATCAACTAGAAAATGTCTAAGATATGTGGGAAAGAGCTGAAGGCTAAGAGAACTAACCAGGCTACAAGAACCTACCATGTGTATTCCCTACTGTATACAGCATGTCACTCCTGTGTACAGCATATATCACTCCTGTGTGTATGCCCTATTGTACACAGCATGTCACTCCTGTGCATATGCCCAACTGTACACAGCATACGTTACTCATGTGTGTGTATGCCTTACTGTGTACAGCATATGTCATTCTTGTGCCAATCTGACATGCATTTATACATGTTTTTATATATGAAGAGGTTTGAACAAATCCACAAGGGCCGTGATGAGGATCCTCTCGGACGTAGGTACGAACCTATGTCCAAGAGGATCCCAATCGCTGCCTTAATTGACTGAGCTACGACATGGTAAAAGAATTACAACCAGAAGTTTATTTGAAACCTTTGTGGATTTGTTCGTTTGATGCACCACGCTATTGTGATTTCTGTGTGTAACGAAGAGGTTTGTTCTTGACGTGACTGTGTAGTGTGCACTGTACTGTATGTTAATGGTGAATTTTTTGTGAACATTATTTTTTAATTTCAGAATTCATTTTAAAACAAGCATCAACCAAATTACCTCTGGTGACACAAGTTAACAAATTAAGAACTGTCTCCAATGTTGCTACAGTATTGAAGAGAAGTGCTCAACACCCTAATGTACAGCAAGAAGTTGTTGTTGACACAGACAAGGCAGGAGAGGAATTAACTAAATGTAAGCATCTGTACCCCTTTTATAATTATTTATTGCTGCTGCTGCAGTATTGGGAAAATTAATTGGAGCAATGAGGAGATTCAAACCCTTGACCCGGGTACTCCCAAGTACTATTTATACAATATATCACGTTAGTGTGATTTCCTTGTGTAATTATTATCCAAACGGAAGTATAATTTATTTGTAAAATTAAATTATGAAATTCAAACTTCTCTGTGGGGAATTGAGAACATAGTGGGGTGATCAGAACAGTCTGTTCACAACTGAAAACTTCTAGGTTCAAATCCTGTGGTAGGACCGATAATTCTGTTTGGTCATTTTTTTTTTCACATGCCACTTTTCACCCAGCAGTAAATAGATACCCGGGAGTTAGTCAGCTGTTGTGGGTTGCATCCTGGGGAAGGTCAGTAGTTGGCATAGGGGGGACCTCGATAAGTAAAACAGGCTTCCTGTTCCTAACAATGGGAAACATACCCAAGTGAGCCATTAAAATATTAGAACATCTTTAGTGTTAGATTAGTAAATGAATAATGGTTTTAAACTTAATAATAGTTTTAGACTTTAAATAACTAACTAAAACTAAAGTTTAGTCCAAGTTTAAAACTGAGAGAACCTTCTTGCCTTTATCTTGACAGATGTAATCCAGCAAGTGAATAGTCAGATTAATGAAAACAAACATGGGAGATTGTTTGCAGTTGCATTTGTGCAAGGGAAGCAGCACCTGGTCACTACAGAGGACTTGGTGGTGGTTCAGGGACTCTTCCCACCCAATATTGGTGATGTCATCAGACTAGAGAAGGTGAGATGCAAGGTTATGCTTTATATACTTGTTTACAGTATGCGTAAGTTAGCGCTCACACTCTTTGAAATTATCACAAACTGAATACTGTGCAGTGCAACTTTGATAGAACAGACTAATGAGACTGCAAACTTTCTAGGAAGTTTCCTTTTCTGTTTTCCTTGCAGCTAATGATACACATTTTTTTGCATGTTTATACGCCCAAGTAATTTATAAACGATACATTTTAAATACTGTACAATGTATGGTTACCTTGCAATAATTTCGGGGCTCAACATCCCCACAGCCCAGTCCTCGACCTGGCCTCAGGCTCCAAAAGTTGAAGTATTTTTTACAATCAGCCTTAGTCTGTAAAGCCTATTTACAGTGCAGTACTTGTGATCCAACCACTTGGACTGGACGGTAGAGCGACAGTCTTGCTTCATGCAGGTTGGCGTTCAATCCCCGACCGTCCAAGTGGTTGGGCACAATTCCTTCCTCGCTTCCCATCGCAAATCCTTATCCTGACCCTTCCCAGTGCTATATAGTCATAGTGGCTTGGCACTTTCCCCTGATAATTCATTCATTTCTTCCTTCAGAAAGCTTGTATACAATACCATACAGTGGTACTGATTAAAATACAGGGGTATTCATATAGTACTGGACTTGCCTATGATATTGAAATCAATTTTATTAAAAGTTTTTATTAAAATCAGACTAAAACTAAGTGGTACTGTACTGTACATTATTAATTAGTTATAAACTGGTAGAGCTGTCTGAGCTAACAATAGTACCCGTACTGCTTGAGGAATTGGCACTACTGTAATTAGAAGTTCTGCACCAGAGCTTTAAGATTCTTCAATGTCTACACAAACTATTTGAAACAATCAACATAGGCCACCCAGCTATTGAAGTGGTATTTTATAGTGTATTTCATCGCCAACATCATCCTTCTGAACATGTACACATTCAGCAATGTAATCCTATGTTAACAAACAAGCATGGTTGTGTTTTTGTCTGTAACCTTCACAACATTATCCATGATGTGAGGTCTTCATTAGCTTATAATTATTCTACTTGTGTTAATGTCAAAACCTTCAAAGTCATTGCTATCATCATAACCATCTTTCTCCATCGTATATTATTTCATAATCTGTGCACAATTTTTCTTTACACTCAGCTTTATTCCAGCTGCAAATGTCATCCTTAATTGTATACTTTTTACAAATTCTCTGTTCTTCTCCAAGTGTTCCCATCAACTAGCACCAGAACCTCGTACTGCAATTTTTGTTACAGGTCTTCTAGCAGCATAAATCATACTAGGTAAATCAAACTATATATATTTCATAGAAGACCCTTGCAGATTATTTTCCCATACACTTATTTCATGCTGTTCATATGAGGAACAAGAGCATTATCAAGCAGCAATAGAGACTGCACATAATTAGCCTTCTGTATGCTTTCTTACATTTAGTATCCCTTACCTTTACGTAAAAATGCGCTTGAAACCGGTCCAGTGTGTACGAACCAGTAAATCATATATGATTTGAGCATTGCTTGAGTGATGGTAGTGCTAATTTTACATTCTGCTAGTTTTCTGTACTTTACAAGCAAACATCTCGGATGGCAAAACTACAGTCTAGGGCAGTTTTATCGGTACACATATTGTATACGTAAAGAAATTTTATTTATGATCACAATCTGTTGTAGTTTTCCATGGAATGGTTTTACATTCCACTTCAGCATTTATTTTGTTGAGTAGATATTTCCCTTATAGTTCTTTGAATTTTGTTATAAAATGATAAATATTCAAAGCCAAATACTGTACAGTAGTCTTTTTTTTTTTTTTTTTAGTCCAAACCTTTGCCAGTACAGTAGTGCTCTTTTTTGGCATTGAACTTTAAAATATGCATTTTCTGCTTTTATACATGAACAGCATTAATGTAGATACCAAATTCCTCCGTCAGCTGCTACACTCCACAACCTTCTCACACGTTTCTTTCTGTTTTCAGATTCTTGCCGTGGGTGGACGAGATTTTACGCTTTTTGGAAGACCACTCCTAAGCAAGGATTTAGTCAATATTGAGGCAACTGTAGTGGAGAAGACACTCTCACACTGCCGCGTTTTTCACTCTTATAAGAGGCGTGAAAATGCGAGGAGAACAAAATGTAAGTTTAGTGCACATTATTGCAGTGATGTTCTTTGAGGTATTTTTTTTTATTTACTATGAAAAATATTTATATAGTTAGCAATAGGTACAAATTTAATGCAGGGAAGATTTCTCTGTAGTGCACTCTGGCACATTTTGCCTGCATACCACTAGGTCATGGTTGTGGCTCACTGCTTGATTTTCTCACAAGGAAACGTTCCATTGAAGATTGTTTTCCCTTCTTTGCAATACTTGTCTGTAGTGAGGCATCACATTGTCATTGAAAAGATTAATGCAATGACCTCCTACAGCTTTCTCTGGGTGAGTCGTTTCAATAAAAGTTTGCATTTCTTCCCACATCCTACACCACTTTATAATTGTTGAGGAAGGGACATTCTCTACTGCCTCATCCTCCTCTGAAGACATATCCTCTGCTGCCTCTTGTTGCTGCTCCTTTTGAAGGGCTTGGAGTTCTTTGGTGGTCAGTTCTTCATTGTGTTCTTCCACCAACTCCTCCACATCAGCACCATTCAATTCCAAGCCCATTTTCCGGCCCAGAGTAACAATTTGCTCAACAATAGGCACTTCATTTACAGGCTCAAACCCCCTCAAAGTCCAGTTCTGACACACATTCAGGCCACAATTTTCTCCAGCCAGAGATCAGGGTTCTTTGAGTCACTTCTGGCCAGGCTTTGGCAACGAGTTTTAAAGCACTACAAATGTTAAAATATTTTTTCCAGAACTCTTTGAGGGCGAGTTTTGTGGCATGAGTCACTTCAAAACATTTCCGGAAAAGTGCCCTTTCATAAAGTTTCCTAAAATTCGCAATGATTTTCTGGTCCATAGGCTGAATTAGAGGAGTGGTGTTAGGAGGAAGGAACTTTATTCTGACAAAATTAAATTTGTTCAACAATGCATCTTCCAAGCCTGGAGGATGAGCAGGAGCATTGTCAAGGAGAAGCAGGGCCGTGAGTGGCAAACTTTTCTCCCGCAGATATTTTTGTATGGCAGGGCACACCACACCTGCTTGATACCTGCTTGATGGGGTTCTGGGAGTTCTTCTACTCCCCATGCCCAGCCTGAGGCCAGGCTTGACTTGTGAGAGATTGGTCCACCAGGCTATTGCTTGGGGTGGCTCGCAGGCCCACGTATCCACCACAGCCCGGTTGGTCCAGCACTTTTTTTACAAAACAGTCTAGTTTCCTCTTGAAGATGTCCACGGTTGTTCCGCAAATATTTCTTATAGTTGCTGGGAGGACGTTGAACAGCCGCGGACCTCTGATGTTTATACAGTGTTCTGATTGTGCCTATGGCACCTCTGCTCTTCACTTGTTCTATTCTGCATTTTCTTCCATATTGTTCACTCCAGTACGTTGTTATTTTAATGTGTAGATTTGGGACCTGGCCCTCCAGTATTTTCCACGTGTATATTATTTGGCATCTCTCTCGTCTTCACATCATTCACTGACTCCATAAAAAAAATCCTAGTCACCTATGCCTTACTATTAGCCCTCCATATCACACACATTTGGTTTTTCTGCACACTATATTTTTAAAAACCCTTGGATTTTCAGAATGATACACAAGCAAGGGTTTAATTTTTAAATTGCCACTCGCATTTCCACACAGCACAAGCATAAACCTATCTTCATGGGCTTGTGTCTGGGCAATGATTTCTCCTCCTTGGTAATATATGTCCTCTTAGGCAGTCTTTTCCAGAACAGTCCTGTCTCGTCACAATTAAACACTTGTTGCGATAGGTATCCCTCAGCCTCTACAAAACCTTTAAATTCTTCAATAAATCTTTCAGACACTTGTTTGAGCTGGCAGCCTCCCCATACCTCAACACTATGAATACCACTTCTTTTTTTAAATTTTTCAAACCATCCCCTGCTTGCCTTAGTCTTTCGTATCTGCACTCGTTCCAGGGGTTTTCTTTACAAGGTCTTCATGCAATACCCTGGCTTTCTCACAAACAATGGCCTCTGAAACGCTATCACTTGCTAACTCCTTGTGTATCCAAATTAATAACAACTTTTCCACATCTTCAAGTATTTGTGTTCTTTGCTCCGTGATTGTTGAAACGCCCTTTGCTACTTTAGCACTCAAAATGTCTTTTCTTGGCAAGTACTGTACAGTGAATATCGTTGACATGGATTTGTTGTACTGCCTAGCTAGTTCAACAACAAGAGTACCATTTTCATGCTAACGAATGATCTCTTGTTTTTCCTCTCTGGTCATTCTCACATGTGATTTCTTGTCTTGAACCTTATCACTGGCTTTCTTAGGACCCATGGCGAGATATATAATAACAACTTTTATGGTCAAATAGCCAAAAATCCAAAAAGAAACTGTAAAGCCTTGTGAAGAATTAAGGCGGGATAGTCACTGGGCGCGAGGCAATGGTAAACTGAGGCGTGATGGCCGTGCCACCACACGCTAGGTCAGCCATACGTGTATCAACAAACTCGTATCCCGAGTTAAAGTTTGTATACAACCGTGGACATCAAAAGAAAACTAGACTGTTTTCTCAAAAAAGGTGCAGACCAACCGGGTTGTGGTGGGTATGTGGGCCTGCGGGCCGCTCCAAGCAACAGTCTGGTGGACCAAACTCTCACAAATTAAGCCTGGCCTTGGGCCGGGCTTGGGGAGTAGAACTCCCAGAAACCCCATCAAGCAGGTATCCCGATAAAAATTTTCCTAACAAATCGGGTATGTAACCCGAAAAGTTCATAAACCAAGGTACCACTGTACAGTATATATTTTTCGTTAAATTTGTTACATAATGTTTAAAGGCATAGCTGGAAATGGTAAGCATTGTAGTCATATTAATATTGTTCCATGACATTTCAGTTTAATTTCTTATTCGTTGTTTTTGGTTACATTCTGATTTTTGGTGGGACTGAGTGTAAAATATGGTGTCACAGCCAAAAAGTTACTCATGATTTACGTGGACATGCACAACTAAGGTATGCAGTACAATAATATTTATCAGTGTGTGCCAAGAAACTGATATTGATGTTTATACACTTCATCCTCCATTGAAATTCTACATTGAACAATCTTTCAACATCTTCAAAAGTACCGCTTGGTTTATCACTCCTTTAAATCCATGTGTTGTCTCAAAACACAGCCAATATATAGGTTTTTGTTATATTTTCCACATGTGGCAGTACTAGGATGTGATATTATGTGGTCCTTATGGAAACTAAGGCATCACTTTGAATGTTTTCAATTTTTGTTCTAGGGTTTTTTGGGTGAGTACACCCCCTCTTCATGAAAGGAAAATGGGGAAATAATGAAAATACTTCGGAAAAATTATACAAATTTCATAAATAGATTCGTCAGGTTATATTAACCATATATCATTCTTTCCAGTTGGACGGCAGACACACACCATGTTAAGAATAAACCGCATTGAAATTACGCACAACATTGATGAAGTTCAGGCAGTGGAGGGTGTTGATGGACGAATATTCTAAGTTAAGGGACATACAAGTTGTATAAAATTATTATAATTTTTTGTTTTCAAATAAATTTATGATTAATGAGTAATTTTCTTGCCATTTATTTAGCCATTTTACAGCTTAACTCTTGCTCCATGTTGAGTATAGTAAGTTATGCACTGTACTTGTTATAAACAATTAAAACTGGGGATGTTTATCTGTAACATCAGTTGATCAACATGCAAGAAATAACAAAGTGCAGATAATAGGGAAGACAAAAACAAATACTGTACTGTACTAAGGGTTCTTCCAGATATATAAATGATTAGGGAGACCATTGGACCATTGACAAAGGAGACGGGTGAAGGCTTTGAGCTGGGGAAGAGCAGAGTGCCCCGTGCATGCCAGCCCTCATACTGCAAGTAAGTATGTGCTGCACAGGAATTGCAGTCAGCTGTAATGCTCATGAATAACTAGAATTAAAAAACTCTGAACTGCAATGTCAATCCTGACCCTAGACGCTTCCGAAAAGGTTGTAACAGAACTCGTGGGCATCACACCAGAAACAAATACCTATTTGATATTCCAAGAGTGTGACTTAACCAAACTAGAAATGCTCTACAAATCAAGGGACTCAGAATGTGGAATGGTCTCCCCAATCATGTCAAAGGTTGTACCTCTCTCAACCAATTTAAGAGTAAAACCAAGTGCTACTTAATTAACTCCATGTAACCTACCTTACCCCCTAAATGTCAACCCATGTCTTGCTTTTGTTAAACAATGCTGTTTGTTCTCCAACTTGTACAATTGCTGATTTCTGCCATGTTTTCCCTTTTTTATTTTTTATTCCTTTTTACAACACAATTTATACCTAATCCCAATTACTATTAAGTTTTAGTCTCTTTTTTTTTTTTCCACACCTTGCCCGAAATGCTGTGTATATTAGTGGCTTTAGGTATTGTATGTACTAGCTCTATCAATAAATCCAACATTATATTTGTAAATCAACTATGTATGTACTTTTCCTGAATACAAATTTATTATTATTAATAGAAGCTTCTTTTATCAACACTGTAAGAGGTATGTGTTGATACTTTACAACAAATTTCAAGGCTTTTTGCATTTTAAAGATAATGGATATGGGTTGCCCCAGAAAATCAAGTAACAAAAATTACTTCAACAGTATTATCCTTATAAATAATTATGTATTATCCTTATTAAAAACGTTATTATGGTAGAGCATATTAAATTAAGAAAGTATGTTTCTTGTACATGTCATACAAAAAAGGTATGTCCTTATGTCCTGTGGAAAATGCACGAAAAGTGATATTCTGTTTGTCTTTTTTATAGTGTCATTTTCAAACTTTATACACTCAGTTTACTGCTGTCAATTACATCTATGTTGAATATATTTCGGAATATGGATGATTGAATGTAGCTACTGTCTCCCATGTTCGAGGCTCCTGATGCGCAAGGTGTTACATCCATGGTAGTGTTGTGAACAGTTTTTAATAAATATTGATTTATTGGTCCTGTAGCACAGTGATCTACATCTTCTGTTCACGCTCTAGAAATCCAGGTTCAATCCCCATGCAGGACAAACTGTTGTGAATATTTGCATCCTGGGTAAGGTCACTAATTGGCCTAGGAAAACTGCAATATCCTAAAATATATAATTGTTGTGGTAGAACCACTCCTCCCCCTTACCCAAATACTGTATTGGTTTAGATTAAAAGAAAATATTTATTAACTAAATACCTCTGTACTTGTGTGTGTTTTTTACACAGTGTTGTCTTAACCAGTTACATGGGAAACAGCATTGATCATTTTTGGGTATTTTTTCGAAGCTTTATAACATTGCTGAAAAGACGGGACGCCACGAGCGTAGCTCTTGTCCTGTAACTACACTTAGGTAATTACACTAACAATTTATCACAAATAAGGTATGTCATACTGGAATGTAAATGTGTGTTAACATTGGACTGACTTAAAATTACAGCACTTCTAACCCTGCAAGTAGCTGAATTGAGAAAAGTAGTCTGTGTGATGCTACTTTCAGTTTGTAAATTATATACAGTATATTTAAAATTTCAATGGTACTTAATTTAACAGCGAGAGTGGTACAAGGATTGTGATTAGTTTCTTGGTGGGGGCATTATTTCTAAGTGTAGTATCTTCCAGGGTGGAAAGTGTTCCTCACGTGTGCAGAGCTCCTGCAGTCTGAACATTTTTAACCAAGTGGCAATTTTTTTAACCCATTAGGTTTTACCCACCTGTTGTTGGTTCTGAGGATCAATGTCCTCATGGGCTGGTCTCAGCCCATGAGTGCCAGCTCTATTTACCAAAAATGGCCCACTAGATAGATATGTTGCCAAAGCTTCAGCGTTCAAGCAAGCCCAGCATCTGGGTCAACAGTCCCCAGTTACATGGGGACGTTGGTCTAATGGTTGGTGCCTTTCTTGTCGTTCTTGAGATAATGCAGTTTTAGTTTTGTGGTTTTTCTTCACCTATAGAGGGAATGACACTCATTTAAGTATGAATTTATTTTTCTTAGTGGTATATGACTTGCACATACTGTACCTATTTCAAAGCCCTCCATACATTCCAACGTCACATCGTTTTCTGTTGACGTTCCTACAATCCATTCTTTGTTTCATTTTTCAAAGCGTACACTATTGTATATAATGTTTGGCTAAGGAAACATTATATGTAATAATTTAAGTGCTTATTATAATTTACTGAGAAGTACCAAGATTTCTCCTAAGTGCTACTAAAATGCGTCAAAGACCAGAGTCCAAAGGAGAGACCTGTGCCGTTCCGGACTCTTCCTTCCTGCACCTCTGGTGAGGCGAGGCGAGGGACGATGCGTGTTCATGTAAGGGGAACCCGAGAGTCGCGCCAGTGCCACAGGGTGTGATTGCCGTTATAAGTGATGTCAGACTAAGTGGTATTAGGTACTTTGAGCTCTGTAATTACTTCATAAACTTGAGGAATATTAGAAATACTTAATTTGTACCCAGCTTACCCTGGGGGGGGGCTAATAAATCGGCCTTATATTTTATGTTCTCATCTGACTTGGTCAAGAGTTTGTTATTGTATTTGAAGTTGGTATTTTCTCCCGCTGACTACGTATGACTAACCTTCCTGTGAGATGGGAATATTAGATGAACTTGTAGCTAGTTTTTGATTTGATGTAATCTTTCATATAGAATAGGGTAGCAGCACATTGCTGTGTAACCTAAGCCTGCTAAAAAAAAAAAAAGATGCACTGTATAAGTGATCTAAATCAAGGGTTGAAAGGACTTATTTTAAATTTTATAACTATTTTCAGTAAAGAGTAAATTATTTTAGTAGAGTATTAATCATCCAAAATACGAAAATAAGGATCCATATGTTTTAATAATTTTGGTACCCCAAAGTATACACCCAAAATCACAATATGCTAAAAACGTAATGCAACCTGGGATTCAACTGAATCCTCAGAGTCCGGAGGCTTCCACTGAAACCGTCTTCAAGACATTGGACAGTTTTACCCTCAAGCAGAGGGTAAAACTCCCATACCACGGCACCGAGTATGGTAATGCATGAAGCCCTTGGGACCCCTTGAGGATTCAGTTGAATCCCGGGTTGGCCTTACATTTGTAGCATATTGTGGTTACTGGCGTGTGCCTCAGAATAACCATTGTGCAGGCTCCAATCAACCTCGTGGCCCCCCTACAGATTTTCACTGTACTTAGGTTGAGAATAATAAATCAGTCAGGAGGGTCATTAAATATACACCCAAACTCTTACAGATGCCTAAAGTAGTGAACAAGTTAAGGCACATCACCATTGTGTGAAAAATAAGGATTAATTACACGTGATTGAAACTTCATTCATAAATTTATTTAGAAGAAGAATCCCAAGATCTTCCCTCCAAGATGCTTCCTTTTCGCTTCTTCGTGATCCATAATACCACCCGACGTCGTCAAGACAACATATCTGAAAAGAAAAACACAATGATTATACATCTACATTAATAATTTATTAAAAAGTACTGCCTACCCTAATCGCTTAGGTTTGTAGAGTACCATGAGTGTGTTACAAGAAACCCATTGTTGCTTGTTGTCTTGAGTGGCAGCTTCTTATTGCCCTCTCCTACATGTTTTCCATCATTCAGTATCTCACAGATGCACATCAAAGGCACATGAGGCAGTAGCTTCTCTAGTTAAATTTACAGATCAAATGATTTAGTGATTGAGTTTTTATTATTTACTATTTATACTATTGAATAATAATACGGCAAAAAAAAAAATCAGACATTGAAATAATTATGGAAAATTATATTCGTGGCATCTCCTACCCCATGGAGCCCCTGGGGCAAGTGCCACCGGCCTAACACTCAACACCCATGAATTGCTAAATTTCATTCATTCAACACAGCCAAATTAGGTTGCATATAATATATTTTTTTTTATCTTTCCTTGTGATTAGGGAGCACACTAATAAAATTAGAAAGAAAAAAATTGAAGGAATAAATTTTTATCTGCACACCACAACGTTGTCACATTTAACAGGTGCACAATACCAGTGTTAATGCAGGTATTTAGGCGTGTGTTAGTTTGGTGGTGGTTGGAATGAGTGGATAACGATGTAGAACAATCACCATTTCCAGCCTTACAGGGGGGCAGAGGGATTGGGAGTGGCCTGGTAACCAAGCTTCTGAAAACTTCATCCCACTAAAGGCAAGAGGTAGCCTCTGATATGGAATTTACAAGTGCTCAGACCCCAGGAAGCACACACAGGTTCTGAAGTGTTACATACAATGCTAGATTTATGCTAAACTATGGGAACAGATGCATAGGCAACTAAGTTTCTTTTTTTCTTTTTTGGCTGTAAAAGGCCCAAGAGGTGAAGTGTAAATATATCCAGAGAATCACATAATTGAGTGGAGTGAGCAATGAGGCATATCTCCAAATAGTGAAATAATAATAGGCATCCATCAGTCTCAGGAGACTATAGAGTTGCACTCTGGAGTGGCCTCTCCAGAATAGTTGAACAATTACTAGAAGACGAGTAATTATGAGAACATTTAGAGTGATCTTAACACGTGAAACTGAACAAATGAATCTTACCGAGAATGCTGCAATATTCAGTCCTAAACGCATTTAAATTTTCCAGTCATGATGCACAAAGCTTTGATATTGCAACATGCCTTACCCAACATTCTCTTTACATTTATTTTTACTATACTGCACTTAAATTTCTGCATCTAAATATTTGTAAAGCAGTGTTAGCTTGTACTGGAAAGAAAAAATTGTCAATGTTTGGCAAAGCATAACACATTTAAATCACCCTGCCCCAATATAACTCAGCTGTGTTCAGAAGGGGATGCTAAAACTTGCAACCAATTCAGTACAGCATCATCAAAACAAGTGTGGGGGAAGGGGGGGGTGGAGCAGTTGTACACCAACTGTTGCAGTTTTCAGCTATCCATTCTATGATCATAGTACAGTACTCTTATTAACTTACTCTAATTCTATTAACACATTCATAGGTTGTAGATCATTGCTTTATACATCAAAAAGACTTGTTTACCATTATAGCTTCACAAATAAAAATGGTGAAAGCTTTTACATACACCCGAGTGAACAACTGAAGTAGGTGGAACGTGTTAGGTAGCCAATGCCACCCTCAGAACACTTAAATGCTAACCAACCTAATTAATCAAATATTCCACAACCAAATTCCCTCTTCACTGTACTGTATTTAGGAATCCCACCAAAATTGTGTGGTATCAACATTAGTGATCATAATCACCAGACGTGCACATAAAAAAGAAACTTACCCAAACTGACGCGAGGGAAGAAGGTTCGTTGTCCACTTCTCAATAGTATTAATTTTGACATCAAACCGAGGGGAAATAACACCACATTTGATAAGACGGCCAGTCAAGTTCACCACAATCTTGCCAGCTCGGTGATCATCCACAATTTCAAATTCTCCAATGTACCCTAAACAAGAAAGTTAATTGAACACTGAGAAGACTAATACAAGTTTATATAAAAATCAAGGTCTGTTCCAATGAATACAGTACTATACATAAAAGTACATAACATTATCAACAACTATTATTACCCATTCCCAACTCCCCCCATTTTGCGAGGTAGGGAGGAATCTACAAAAAAAATGTGAAAGATTACACTTGTCCAATCGTCTTACACTTCACACTTTATATCGTATAAATCAACACTGCCATTCTACATCAGTTATCCACAGCTTTATAAGGCAAGAAGCATACTGCTTCTTGCTACTTCTTTCATCTAGCCTTATACATCAGGCATGAAATTAACAATTACTCATGTTACTGGAACTGTAATATGAGTAAACTAAACAACAACTTCTTCTTGTTTAGTTTAAACAAACTAAGTTGCAACTAAACAACCCATATTGATTAGTTGCAATTACTCTCATCAACAAACTGAACATCCATTGAAGCTTTGATGAATTAAAAAAAAATTAAATAGTGCAAACAAGCATGTGAGGATACTTTCATAAAATAAAAATAAAACGAATTTTTTTTTTACCTACAAAAAATGTAACAGTTTTCATCAGCTTTATCTTAACACCTAGACTGCATGAAACTTACCATGTTTCATCATTACTGTCAGGAATTTGACGACTACTTTGGAGCATGGCCGAATCAATACCTGACGCTTGCCACGTTTTTCAGCATTGTTTATACTCCTCAGAGCATCTGAAAGGGCGTTCATTCGGACCATCTTGATGAATGGTTAGACCTGAAATAAATACAAAATTTAACAAAATTAGAGAAGTTTTAATTGTATCGAACCCAGAACCTCAGGACTACAAAGCACTGTCCATTCAGCTGTCAGGCCCCACTATACAGTATTTGATTGCATAAATTTCTTGAATTACACACTTTTCAATATTACAGAAAATCCATCATTGAAATAATAATGAACTATTATATTTGTGGCAAATGCCACCCCCACAGGTTTGCCGAGAATATCGTCGCGGAGGAGAGGGGTTAGTGTTTGGAAGGGGAGTCCCCATCCATTATAACAGGAGTGATGACATTTCTGGGGTGTACACACACTCACGTTTTACAGACATACCACTAGGACCTGGTTATGGTTCACTGCTTGCTTGTCTTGCCAAGAATCTGACTATAGACATTTGTTTTTCCCTACATTTTAACACTTGTCTGTAGCGAGACATCACATGATCTCTTGTTTTTCCTCTATTGTCATCCTCAACTATTTTTTCCGGTTGAACATTACCACCGACTTTCTTGCAACCCATAATGTGATAGGTAATAACTTATGTTCAGAAATCAAAACAGCACAAAAACAATGAAATTCTACACAAAGAATTCAAGCACGATCATCACTAGGCAGGAGACAGTGGCAAACTAAAGTGCCACTCGCTCGATTGACCCGTAGGTGTATAAACAAACTCCAAAATCCAAGGCAAACTAGTACAGAATCCAATTTTTCAAAGAAATTGAGTCACGAGTACCAATAAATACGAAAACAGAGGTTCCACTGTATATATATTTGTTTACTTTCCCATCAGGAAATGCATGTTAACATAATAAAGATAACATTATTTGGATTTTTTTTTTTTTTTTGCGCACAAGAGGGTCTCGTGTGAAGGCTGCAATGTAACAAATGTAACAGGGTTCAACCCATCCTTAGACCAAGTCCATTCCATCCAGCGGTCAACCCCAAAGTCACATTCATCAATTTTAACATGCTGTTCATTTAAAACAGGAATTTTCTCAAATATTGATTATTATAATATAACATGTGCATATTTATGCATTGGTTAGGTTAGGTGTTTAGGTTCTCTTCGCAATTATTTGTATTTGCAGTATGAGGGTGAAGCATTTACAGTTGTGGTTTGAACAAAAAATCATCAGTACAGCACTTGTTCTGGAAGTGCTTAGTATTCATGAGTCATGTGTAAACAGATAAACAGCAGGTTGAGTGGGTGCATGGAATGGACTATGGCCTTTGTTTATGAGGACAGGCTGCAGGGTTAATGCTGAATGGTTCTTTAAAAATGAGTCGCCAAACATCGAGACACCTCTCAAACACACCCAGATGCTAGTCTCTGGAACCAGAAATGTTATTCTAGGGGATGCAAGTAACTCTGTACAAAGACATTTCACCATTGGATTTTAAAAGCTTTCCCCCAACCTAACCAAATCTAGCTTGAGTCAAGCTAATGCAGCCTAACTTAAGCTTACATGGTTTTTACATTTAGAAAAGTAAAAATGCATGTGTACTGTTTGAACATACCCCATTCTAAGAGTGCTGGCAAATACTATAGAAACAATACTCTTTAATCATACTATTCATGGTTACAGAAGGAAAATTCCCTAACAATTGTGTACAAAAACTTCGGACTTGTTTTTGTAACAACTCTTATATGCTGTTACAATGAATCTATAGAAGACCTATTTTAGTCCACATGAATGCCAAATGTTTGGAGAACAATGTGTTTACTGAGCACTACCAAAGATGATTATGAGTAGGTGCTAAGCCAATATGACTATACAGCAAGCACTACCAAAATAAAGGTATGGTATTTAAATAAGATGGCCAAAATATTACTGATAATTTTAACTATGTACACATTAGTGTGCTCCATGGGTCTGTATCTAATGCACTATACTCACAAACCTTAGGTGATGTACTAGTAACAATTCTTTGTTCAGTCTCATGCACCACCAAGATAAATTTCAATATGGATTTAAAAAAAATGAAATACATATGAAATGTGAAATTATATGAAGTGACCAGTACATAAAAATGCCTGTGTACAGTGTTACCCTCCCCTATTCAGATGACATCTCAGTTACTCCAGAGAAAGTGCTGCACTTTTCAAGGGATAAGGGTCTCCCCAACAATGTGCATCATATGAATACAGGTCACTTTACCGCATACAGTTTGTAGATTTTTAAACCTAACACATCACATGGCTAAAATTGTTTGAAGCATATTGTATCTGGGGGAAAAAATAACTTCAAAATAAACTTATTAAAACAATTTACAGATAACTGACAGCCGAGTGGACAGCGCTTTGGATTCGTAGTCCTGAGGTTCAGGGTTCGATCCCCGAGGGAGGCAGAAACAAATGGGGCAAAAAGTCTTTCACCCTGATGCCCGTTACCTAGCAGTAAATAGATACCTGGGAGTTAGACAGCTATGGGCCGATTCCTGGGGGTGTGTAACGAAAAGGAGGCCTAATCGAGGACCAGGCCGCGGGGACACTAAAGCCCCAAAATCACCAACATAACCTAACGATAAAATGATCAATATGGGGTATGGTCAAATGACATACAAGCATTTTAAAAAATCTTTCAAATTGTAAAAACTCGTGTTCATTAGATTAGGATATATCAGCTTAGGCTCAGATAGGCTACACTAAGTTTGTTTGGGCTGTTAGGTTAGTACTTAGGTCATTATAGGTAGGTTTTAAAATTTGTTGAAGTATTGGGTACACTGACTTCTGTGTACATGACTGCAACATGACTTTAGCAGGGTAAATGGTATTATACAGAGTTGGGAACATTTATTTAATTAGGATTTTTAACACGCATTTAAATATGGCTGCTCAAGTATAATGGTATAGAGGCAGTTTTAGTATATGGTGCCATGGCAGTCCTCATGGTGCGCACAGGACCCCACACTTTATGAGCAATTTGGCCTGGGTTCGTATCCTGGTCAGGGATTGACTAGGCATCAATCCTTAACTATATGCGTCTTCACCCAGCAGTGAATGGGTACCCAGTGGTTAAACGATTTGGCGGGTCGTATTCCAGATAAAATCAAGATTAAGGACCTGCCTGAAATGCTGTGTCAGTGTTACAAGACTAAGAACAAACATTTTTCTAATTAAGGGATAATTTTTTTTTTGGGTGGGGGGAACAGGAAGTCTGTGTGTGTATGCATATTTAAGGCTCCAATTGAGGTTCCCAAACATCACTCTACCGACTCCCAAAGACGTAAACCCACAATTGCTAAACTCTTAACGTTACGTGAACAGAGGCAGCGGGTGAAAGAAAACGTACCCATCCATTTCTGTCCTTCCAGGGGAATCAAATCCGGGATCCCCCCAATCAAGTCATCAATGTCAAGTAAAACTACGTGTAGTTCTATTACTGAGCTTGTCCCACGAGTCCAATAATGACCAATGTGGATAACGTGATCATGTCTGATAATGCACACCAAAGTATACTAAATAATTTTAATTTCGTTTAGGTTAGAATAGGAGTGACCAGGCTAGGTTAAGATAGTGTGGATGTGTAATTGTACAAGACGTTATCCTTGGTAAGACAAGAACTGCACCAACACCCCCATACACACCACCTGCACAAACATCAACAAAATTATTAAATTAAAAAAAACTCTTCGATCAGAATTATTTCATATAGATTAGGAGGTGGACCTCAGCAGCAGGATGAGTCGTATGGAAACATATATACAATTATGGCCCCAGGATGTCAACAGCCGCGAGGTCCCCACAAGAGGCTCACGTGTACCTCAACACCTTCACTTCTACTCCTCTCAGCCACTCCCCCACACATATTCCCTGGCTCCTACAGCCTCCTGAAGGCGTGGCCGCCCCCAAGGCCGGTCAACACGCCCAACGCACACTATAAACACACAAAACACACCACAAGGGAGCTCACCCGACCCGCTCTCAGAATATGGCCGCACCAGAAAGAACACCCGCGGCCCGCCACCTTCACAATCTTATATGCTTTCATGACTTGTATCATTATTTACGTTACTTCTATTGATTTATTAACATACTTACTATCGTTTTATTTTTTAAATAGTTTGTAAATGTAAATAAATCGCTATATGTATTATAAAGATATTAAGTGTTGTTGAATTAAGCATCGAGTTGCGCACTGCACGTTCTCTTGCAGTTCGTATTTTATTTTTAAATTTTGTGAAAAGTATTCAATTCGTAAATATATTTCACGCATGATATGCATACACTGAGATTATTGCCATCAGCGAAACGTGGGGACGAGAAGACATAAATGAAGGAGAATTCAAAATCTAAATAAAAATAAAAAATAAATTATTCAGGTAAGTATGCATACATATAAGATGAGTTACAAACATAATGGTGGATTTATAGATAGAGCTAGTACATACCTTATAACCTACCTTACCCCTATATTGTCAACCCATGTCTGGTTTTTTTAAACAACGCTGTTTGTCGACCTAATTGTATTTGTGCTGTTTTTTCTGCCATGTTCCCCCTTTTTTATTTTTATTTTTATATGTTCTCAACACAATTTATACTTTAATCTCAATTAGTATTAAGTTTTAGTCTTTAATGTTTTTCGTGCCCGAAACGCTTTGCGTCATAGTGACTTTAGGCATTGTATGTACTACCTCTATTTATAAATCCATCAATGTTTGTATCACACCTTGTATGTATGTACTTAATTTTGAATTTGAATTTGAAAATGGTGGCAAACTAACAGTGGGAGTATGCCACAGGGCAGACACAGCAACAACAGAGGAAGTTAATGATTTAATGATCTGCATAATGTGATAAATGCTGCAGCTGAACCCCAAGCCATTATTATGGGTGACAACCACGAGACAATAGACCGAGTGAATCTAACATCACAATTGCAAAAACAATTTCTTAACCTAATGCAGGACTCCTTTCTCGTGCAGCATGTGACAGAACCCCCATGGGCCGCCCTCAAGATGGGTATAGGGTGCACTGCCGCCCACAGGATGGGTATGGGGTGCACTGCCGCCCACAGGATGGGTATGGGGTGCACTGCCGCCCACAGGATGGGTATGGGTTTCACTGCCGCCCACAGGATGTGTATGGGGTCCACTGACGCTCACAGGATGGGTATGGGGACTGCCGCCCACAGGATGTGTATGGGGTCCACTGACGCTCACAGGATGGGTATGGGGTCCACTACCGCTCACAGGATGGGTATGAGGTCCACTACCGCTCACAGGATGGGTATGGGGTCCACTACCGCTCACAGGATGGGTATGGGGTCCACTACCGCTCACAGGATGGGTATGGGGTCCACTACCGCTCATAGAATAGGTATGAGGTCCACTACCGCTCACAGAATGGGTATGGGGTCCACTACCGCTCACAGAATGGGTATGGGGTCCATTACCGCTCACAGAATGGGTATGGGGTCCACTGCCGCTCACAGAATGGGTATGGGGTCCACTACCGCTCACAGAATGGGTATGGGGTCCACTACCGCTCACAGAATAGGTATGGGGTTCACTACCGCTCACAGAATGGGTATGGGGTACATTGTAAATAAACAAAATTGTGTACGATGTAACTTAATGTATAAGTTCCGCTGTGTCACGCTGATCTGTACAGAACTGCAGTCAAGAGCCCACGTCAGTTCTACTCCATCTCTGCACCTCTCGCCTTGTTTTGGCCGTAAGTCCACATCGATCAGTTATTCTTTCTCGCGTTGGTGACAGAAAGGTTACAGAGCTAGTTGCTGGGTAAAGGGGCTGCTGCAGCCTAATGTTCTTTCACCAAAATAATATAAATGTTAACTATAACTCCATATTATGCTTCTGAAGTACCGCATTCCAATCTGCTGTGCTACAATTGGATGATAACAATTACATAATGAGTTCAGGAGGTACATGCGTTAAAAAGGTTGATAACTGGGTATTCCTCTTACAATTAAGTTGACGTGTTAGCAATTCGGGTTGTTGTGTTGATTCCGCCTCTCAACAGTCAATCAACTGGTGTGCAAATTCCTGAGTATATTGGGCTCTATCATATCTACATTTGAAACTGTGTATGGAGTCTGCCTCCATCACATCACAGCCTAATGCATTCCATTTGTTAACTATTCTGACATTGAAAACGTTCTTTCTATTATCTCTCTGGCTCATTTGAATACTCAATTCCACCTGCCCCCCCCCCTTATGCCTGCCTGAGACCGTGCCTACCTTAGGTAGGGATGCAGTACTGAAGCAACACATCTGGCAGGAAGATATGTTGCACGTTCGGCTTTCCAACATTATCAGGTTGGGGGACTGGCCTGTCAGGTGCCTACAAGTATTGCCACAGGAGGAGGAGTCTCGGGGTCCGGTATGGGAAGATAGGCTCAATTGACCCGAGCGTTTAAGTGGACAACATCCAGGCCGCTCTACGGGTGTTAGGTTCACCCTGCCTGCCCTGCGCAACACAGGACCTCGTAACAGGTCCAGCCATCGTAGCTGGGCATTCTAGTTGCTGTATTTCAACTTTCCTGCGTTACGCTGCTATAATTGCCATCTATTGGGACATAGTCGCCTCACCTGCTGCAATGCAACATGATGTGCAAACTGTGGCAACACAAATCATGCAGATAGATATAATGGTGGGTGCTCTGCCGCATCTCGCCACCTTTTATGCCATGGCCCTCACAAGAGTAGTGGGGACCCCTCGACAAGAGCTGTTCCAGAGGTTGCGCGCCCTCAATCAGCCTACCGTTTCTTTCCGCCTCCTGGTTGGCCTCTTCACAGGTAGGGTCTGGCAGACGTACTTTCCTGTCCCGGCCACATGCCTCATATTCCCAGGCTGCTAATCGATTTTCCTTCCTAGGTCGCCTCGACATGGACGAAAACTCCATCACGGATACAGACATGGACACTCAGTCCCGACCGGAGCCCGGCACTCGTCACCCTCCTGTCTCTCCCGTGAGAAGCCAGCACCGACGTCGTCGACACACCCGTCGATCGGGAGGTTCTGCTCCATCATCGGAGCAGAATAGAACAACAAATTCGTAACACTCGATTATCGGATAGTCCTGAGTATCCTCTGGTCCCCAGGTGCTTTCCCAGGGGAGGATTGTGACACCGGTGGAACATGAGGTCCAGAGTGAAGCACCCACCAGTGTGGGTGTTTCACCCACACTGGTGGGTGCACCCCATATGGAGTGTTTGCACAGATTTAGCCTGACTGGGGATATCAAAGAGATCTTTATTTCTGGTGTGTTGCTCATGGGTTCTATTTTACCTATCAAGGAACATTTCAGATTAAGATTAGCATTTAGGAACGGTTTTGTACATGTAGATAGCACATGAGAGTGTGTGTGGAAATTGAAATAAGTTTATTGAGGTAAAATACACACAAAGGGATGAGGTAGCTCAAGCTATCCTTTAGCATGTTAAGGGACTTAAACAGAGAGGCTGTGTGTTGTCTGAAAACAGTTTGTTATAGTTCTAATAGTTGATTTTTGCTGAGTGATGATAGGCTGCAGTGGTAACTCCATGCATAGATACCGTATGTAAGATAGGTATAGATTAGTGCATAGTATAACGAGAGGAGAGCAGAGTAGGGAACATAATATCTGATTTTAGAAAGTTTACTGACCGTTTTTACGATTTTTTTGCGATGTGTTGTATGTGGGTGCTGAAGTTGAGTCTCTTGTCTATGCATAGGCCAAGGAACTTTCCCTAATTTTTATTGGTAATAACATCGTCTATCTGAAGACGTCCGTTATGACATCCTTCGCCATACCTTCCGTTTCATTCGTCATGTCCGTGGCCTGAAGAGACTGTAAAGTATGTGGCCTGAAGAGTCTGTAGGGTCCCCATGATCAGAGAGTACCGTACTATCCCCCACCCGATAGGCAGCGGCCGGAGTATATCCGACCATCGTCGCCCCTCAACCATCAACAACAGGACGCGAGTATCGAGAGACAACAGTGCACAAGATTTCCTCTTGACTATAAGCTTACGGGAACTATACTTGTGTAACGGTTCTATTGTTATGTGAACTATGGTGACAATAAACACAGACACTACGAGAATAAATATATATTCTAATGAGAGATTCAAGGCTCTCATTACTTGGAATAGGTTTCTTAAGATAGAGTGTGTTTCACAGCTTTTAAGACTGTGTTAATTAATGAGCACTTAATGAAGTGGTGGTATTGCTGGAGTCAAAAGTGTAGGTTCTTTGTGAGGTGTTATGCTGTAGTGTAGGAGATATGGCAGTAAAGTAAATACAGTATTACTGTACTATACCATATAAAGAAGTAGATAAGAGGACTTTTTTTACAAGTCACAATTATTATTTTTATATTTGTTCTTATTTCTTCCAGGCTGATGCCTCCCCCCCATATTTTGAAAGTAGGAAATGGGCTTGTAGTGGTGATTTTTACCTGTTTTATGTTTATTTTACCTGGGGACCATTATCCACTAGTGGCCTCAACAGGGAAAGGAAGCTGGCAGCCTATCAAAGGTCCTCCCATTGTTCCTGAAGATTTTTCCAACTGGATTTTGGACTGAAGCATATGTCTTGGTATTAGTCTGGTGCTACATAGGACAGTCTATGGCATTGTGGTAAAGCACTTGCCTGCCGTTTCACGAGCACATTGGCCTGGGTTCGTATCCTGGCCGGGGAGGATTAGTTGGGCACTAATTCTTGAATGTAGGCTCTGTTCACCCAGCAGTGAATGGGTACCTGGTTTTTAAATGATTTGGTGGGTTGTATTCCAGGGAATATTAAGATTAAGGATTTGCCTGAAATGCTGTGCCTATTAGTTGCTGTACAAGAATGAAAGATCTCTTGCATAAATAAATAAATAAATAAATTAGTCTCGATCTTGGCATCTTCTTTTAATAATTACTTACTTGGTATTTACAGCTTTAGTGAGTAGGCAGGGCCATGACTTTATGACCATATGGGTGAAAAAGTATTGCCTGTTTTGTGTTCTACATTGTGCCTTGTTAAGCTCGAAGCTGTTGCCCCATGTATGCAATACAGTATTTTCCCTTTTAAAGAAATGGTCTGGATTCATTTTTATACTAAGTGTCACATCTAGGTGGCATCAACTGACATGGATATATTAAAGGTTGGCTCTATGCATTAGTCAAGCAAAAATGCATACAGTATTTACTTTTTGTTCTGCTGTTGATTTCAGTCTTTTTCTCTGATATGAGAATTCACTGCAGATTTTATTTGTAAATTTGTCAAACATAATATACTCTTTATTGACCTTAAAGAAGTTTCCTCCCACACAGTGAGAAAACGACATCATGTGTTTACTGTTCTTATATTCAAATCCTGACGTGAAGACGGGAAGATACAAAATCATATTGGTCAACAACCGAGATGAGACCTATTCAAGGCCGACGAAACCTGCACATTTATGGAGTTCCAAAATATATGGAGGTAGGATCAAAGATCTAACCTAATTCTAGTTAACGTTAGGGACTATGTTGTTTGATAATTGATGTCTTTTATTAATTTATATTTTTGTATTTGAGATCATGTAGAATTTTGTTTGTCATATTTATTTTACATAGATTACTGTTGTTCATTTTTATTCCTGAGCCAAGAAGCATAACGTCATTGCAATTATGAAAGTCCTGAATTAAAGTTTTCACTTTGTAATAAACATAAAAGAGTTTTTCTTGTCAGGGGACAGGAAGCCAGGTTATACATACAGTACATGTTAGGCTTAAACCGAGCCCCTTCCCAATCGAATTACTGACCCTGCCCAGGATGCAACCCCACAACAAGCTGACTAACTCCTGGATACCTATTTACTGCTAGGCGGACAGGAGCATGGGGTGAAATGAAAAGCCCCCAACCAGCTGTGCTGCCCGGGATTCGAACCCAGAATTCTTGATTATGAGTCGAGAACGAACCAGACTGTACAGTACTACCAGGACTCCCTTTTTTTTAATAGTAAACATAGCTGTACAGTATTTCTGGATTTGAAGTGAATAGCTTATAGCAGGAACACAAATGCCTATAAGAGCCTCCCTGGCAAGTGGTGGGGTTGTGGGCAGATTGCATGACATTTGAACTGAGAGGTGGACAGGGCCTGAGCTGTGTCACCCCACTCTTTGGGGGTAGGGGGGTCCACTAACAAGCGGGAGTACTAGTTTGCATACAGAATTGCTAGTTTCCTAGTTTCTTTTGTTTGCGAGGAGTTCTTCGCTTTTTCTAGTAGTTGTTCGCTTTTTACTAGCTAGTTGTTTGTTTTTTTGTTTTGGCTTCTGGGGCTACCTCCAGAAAAGGGTGTTTCATTACATTCAACACTGGGTTTTTTCTGACACCAGAAAGCATTGTTTTATGATGTACTGTAGAGAAAAAAATTTGAGTTTATGTACACCATGATATGAACTTAATTTTAGGTGCAGTTAGGGGGTTAAAATAATTTACCCAGTTGTCAATTGAGCCCTGTGACAACACTACCATATAATGTCTGGTGGCAAGGGTTTTGGGAGGCTTCTTGTGAGCTCTCAATGATTAAAAAATAGGTATACCCTAATTTTTGTTTGGAAATATGAAAAATCACTTGTGACTGAATGTCTTTGTGTAGTTTTAACCAAACTTATATTCTACTGGTATGTTACTGTATTGCATGTACAGTAATCATATATTGAGGCTCACCAACTATGGCTTATGGCTATCTGTATGTTTTATTGCAAGTTTACCCTCCTTTAATTTAGAATAAATATTTAAGTATAATAATTTTGATAGAGAGTTGTTATTGACAGAATTCTGTGCATGTTCATGCTGTTGAGCTTTTTAACAGTGGTTAATCTTTAGGGCATCTTATTTCAAGGATATTTCTGTTTTACTTTGATATTTTGTATATGTAAGTGAGTACCAGTCTAACAGTTATTGTTTGTGTGTGTTCTTTCTAGTATTTATTAATCCACCTTTAGTTGTTAGTTTTACTCCCATTTTGATTGTCTATCAATACAGTATACCTGTATCTCTAACACTAGATTCATTAATTACATGCCCTTGAGAGGGTGGACTCATGTAGAATTTGTCTTAAACATTTCAGCAGTTTGACACACATTTGCTAAGGAATTCTTGTTGCAGGTCTTATTTTAATTTATGTGGTATTAGTGCCACTAATCTACTTTTAAATAACAAAGATGTATGGGAAGGATAAAGATTTTCTTACTGTATACTTGCAAAGAGGAAAGTTGAATAGAAGCTGTACCCTTTATTTCTTAGCAGTTCTCATTTGGAAAATGAGATCTGTTAGCATTTTCATTTAACTGAAATAAGTGTTTATTTCAGGCATGGATATTCTCGAGGGAAAAGAGGGAGGAACTTGGCTGGGTATTTCCGAAGCTGGTAAGATTGGCTGCTTACTCAATATTTTCCAACCTTCAGACAAGTTCGAAGAAAATGTAACTTCAAGAGGTTTCTTAGTTGTCAATTATCTTAAAGCAGATCAGAGTGGATCAGAATACTTGGAAAATATAGCTAAGTTAGATGCTGTATACAACCCGTTTAATTTGTTAATGATGGACCCAGGAGAGCATTCCTACAATATAACATATTATAATAGTCAGATAAAGTTGTCTCAGAAGATTCAGTCAGGCGTTCATGGATTTGGTAACTCAGCAATCAACAAGCCATTCAAAAAAGTTCAGAAAGGTAAACAAAAATTCCAAGAGATTATTGAAGCTTATGGAAAAACAGAGTGTGAAGAAAAACTTATAAATGAACTCATTATTATGATGCAAGACACCAAAAAGTATTTTCCTGATGAACAATTAATAGATCAAGGCAAAGGTCACTCAGAAGACTTTGTGAAGACTCTCTCCAGCATTTGGGTCACCTTCCCTGCTCATAATTATGGAACAAGGTAAGAAATTAGTGAAGAGTAAAGACAAATGTAATAATGTAGTGTGAAAATCCACTAGGGCTAGAGGTGGGCGCAAACCTACGACCCCGGCATTGCCAAGCCGCATACTCTACCACTAGACCACCGCTGACTTGTTAATGTAGTGTGTTGTGGGGCCACATAAAACTGTTAAACTAAGTGCATACTACTTTGCTCATCTTTTTTCCATTTTGTTTTTTCTTCCTTGTTGTTTTCCTATTTCTTTCCTTCTGAATTCCCACTCACAATTTTCAGTCTCTCCAGACATTGTCTATACTGTATAGTCATACTGGCTTAGTACTTTTTTGTTTTTTATAATTTCAGTTTCTCCAGACATTGTTGTAATGACCACAGGTAACCTTGTGGTGGTTTGGAAGATTCATGGCCTTTATGGCCTGGTCTCTGACCAGGCCTCTAGGTTGATGGTTTGGTCAACCAGGCTGTTAAGACACAGGTGCTTGTATTCTGACTTATGAATCACAGCCCCATTGATCAGTTATCCTTTTGGAAGTGTTTATCAAGTTCTCTTTTTGAACACGGTGAGAGGTCTGCTAATTATGCCCATTAGGTTTAAAGTGTGTTGAAAAGTCTTGGGCCCTTAATGTTGGTAGAATTGTCTCTTAGTGTACCTATTGTACCTCTAGTTTTTAATGAGCCTATTTTGCACTTCCAGCCATGCCTCCTGGTTTCATGTGAGACCAGGTGGCATGGCAGAATTGGAACCAGTCCCTCTAATATTTTTCATGTAAATTACTTCGTATCTTTCTCGCTTGTGATCTAGAGAATACAGATTAAAAATTTCAAGTTGTCTCAATAATTTAAATGTTTTATTAAGTGGATTTTGACAGTAAAAGAGCTTTGCACATTCTCCAGGTCAGCAATTTCTCCAGGTTTGAATGGGGCTATTATTGTGCAACAATATTCCACTCTATGGAGCACTAGTGTCTTAAAAGGTATCATCATTAGTATGGCATATCTTCTTTGAAGGTTCTTGTTATCCAACCTGTCATTTTTCTTGCAGTTGTGATGGTTACTTTATTGTGTTTTACAAAAGTAAGGTCTTCTGACATGATTACTCCCAAAATCTTTTACATTGCTTTTTCATTATAATTGTGTGATTTGACTGCATTTTATATGTGGGTTATGTTGTTCCATAGCACAGGAGCTAGAACATATCTTCACTAAACAGCATGTTATTTTCTGTGATCCATTGGAAGATCTGATTTATATCAGATTGGAGGTTTGCTGTGTCCTCTATTTGTCAACTCTCATGAAAATCCTAGTGTTATTTGTAAAGGGTGATATAGAACTACAGTTTATGTCCTTGTTTATGTCCGATATGAGGTTGAGACAGGATCAAGCACAGTACCCTGGGGGGAATGAGCTTTTCAATGATCCAGATTTTACTTTGTTGACTATTACACTGTCGAGTCTGTTAATTAGGAAATTAAAGATCCATCTTCCTACTTTGCGAGTAATTCCTTTTATGTGCAATAACACCATGACCACGCTTATTGAAAGCTTCCACAAAATCTTTGAATATTTCATCAGCAGTATGCTTGTCTGTGATTCTCTATTATCATTTACAGCTGGCATACTCAGATTTCCAACAGTTTCTCTGCAAACATTTCCCATGCTAGTATTCATATACCTCAGCATAATAATTTTCCCACAATTATTTGATTGTTTCTAAACACCTCCATCTTGTTATTTCCTCTAACATTCTCCTCATTTATTGGGGCATAGGCACTTTGAATGGTGCCTCAGTATTTTTGCTTGAAATTTTTATAGTGTATATAAATGTATTATAGAAGAGCGCACAGTTTGAAAAATCAGTAAGCCATGGGTACACAAAGAGCTATTTATGTTTTAGGGGTCTTAAAAACTCAAAGCTAATTTCCTCTCTTCACGAGTGAGAATTTTGCGGTTTAAAATGTGTATTCAATTTACTAATTTTCTAGTCTACCAGTGTGTGTCTGCTGAGGTGCAGTAACTGATTAGAAAATGTAGTTTACATGCTTTTCAAAGGCATATGGTATTTGTTACCAATGCTGTGAATGCTGGTTAATTGAATTTTCAAATCATATGATAATAGTTATGTGAAAATATTTCCACAGGACAACTACAGTCATCCTTGTGGACCACTCCGACAGAGTTGTGTTTAAGGAACGAACAATGAAGGAACCAATCAACCTGGAAGCAATTGAATGGGAAGTAAATGAGTTTAGTTTCAATTTGAAAAAAGATTGAACAATTTCTAAATAAATATAATTACAATGTAACAGTACTGCATCTACATGTATGATACATTTATTTTGAAGGGAGACAGTGACTTTGTCTTAGCAACCTTTGTAGATGTGTTAAAAGTAATGCAGTCTGTGAAGACTTTTTATTAAGTCTTTTAGTGCCATGAACAACTATCCAAATTGCAATGCCAAATCTTTTTAAATCTTTAAAAGCAAATATATTTTCGTATAGGATTATAAGCATACAAATTCCAAATACATAATACACCAAAGAAAGTAAAGTAATATATTTTTGTTTCATGTTAATTTACAGTCCAATACTTCAGAAGAAAAGTAGCATGGCTTGACAGGGAATATTGATGCTCTAAGGGCTTGTGTATGTATAGGATGACAGCCCTTCGTGCAAGGCTAGTTATTTTATTGTATTGTTAGAGTTGACATTTTAATTTACATGCTACTTGTTGATTTTTACTTTGATTATATCAGAGTCCAAAGTAATATGTTAAAGTATCAAAGAGTATCATTAAGAGTAGCAAGAATGTACTGAACATTTTCCAATAATTAGGATAGAGTTGCTGGACATCAACCACTTGAGTACTAGAGTATTACTTTGTTTATAAGTTGATTACAAATAAATTTAATACTATTTTAGAAAGCTGTAAGGTATGATTTGAAGAAGGAGTCATTTATCCATAAATTGATGTCACATTTAGCTTGAAGATGTAACATGTACAGTACTGAAATATTAATCAAAACACTATACATAGATGGTTGTTATTATGGCATAAAGAAAGCAGTTGGCCACGTTGTACCAGTGGTCAGACAGGTAGTTATATCACCCAATTTTAAATGCATTTTACCAGCATGAACATTTATATGTATTATGATAGACATTATATCTACCTACCTTTCAATGCTATCCATTCCTGTAATATCCTACTAGATACCCACACAGTCATAATCCAAATGGCAATCCAAACTACACTGGTAGTTTGTATCATAGGAACTACTGAACACTATTGCCAAACATTAATGTACTCGACAGCATGGTGTCAGTATGTTTTGGTGGTATTTTCCATTGATTTGGAGACCCTTGATTTTGGACCACCCACCGGATTGGCAGGCTCATAGTTTGGTTGTTTCTTTCCTGGGATCCTTTGAGTGTTAAAATGTGATATTAATGTACAATTGCAGGGTACTGTAATCTGTACTGTAATTGTTTGTTAATTTGGCAAAAGTTTGTTTTGGTAGCTGTCCTTGAGCTCCATGTGGCACCAATTGTCAGCCATTTAAATTTTTCCTATACAGTAAGCACCATTCTGAGTGTTTACTTTTCTACATCCTAAAGATCTTACGTTTGACTGAAATTAAAAAAACAAAATAGAATATATTGTTTTAAATTAAAAATATTAGACATATTTCATGATATTAAATGAAATGAGTTAATTTATCTTACATTTTATGCATATATAATGTTGTGACTTGAAGTTCTAGAGATTTCATGTGGACACCCTGTATGTTTGAATAGCTCCTATCATTTAGATTTATTCAGCTACATATGCAGTATATTTTTTCTGATAAGAGCCTCTTGGTGGTTCCCCTGAAACTATCTTGCCGAGATGGCTCCCTACTACCAGGTCACATCAGCTGCAGGAGTACTGTTTGGTCTCCCAGGGATCAGAGCCAGAATGTGGTCCCCTCACAGGCACAAGGAGCAGGGGACTTATTGTCACCCTCATCAGGAAAGCATCCAGAAAGTCAGCAAAGCTTTACAGATACCTGCATAGTTCATTAGAAGTGAAGCATCAAAACAGCCAAACAACTCTGCAAATGATTCATTTGCGAATAATTGGTTCACTGGAAACTAGCTCGAACTCATTAGTATCAATGGCAGCCACCAGGTGGGCCAAGGCACCCAGGCAACAGCCAGCTCCCAAGGTCAGTCCTGTCGCTGATGTTGACTAGCTTACTAGTGTGCTCGTCAGGGTCACCAATTGTCACAGCAGGTCCCACTACTTCTCAGCTAAGTACTGGTCATCCTTTGGACCTGTCCTTTGTCTTTGTGATTTGCTTATTGAATTTTCTTTTAGTATTTGATTCACGTGCACGTGTTTATTTCCTGACAAAGCCAACTTGTGGTCTACCATCGGATCTGCGATATTCCTAAAAATGCTGCTTTGGCCGAGTTTCCAGGCCCATAATCACTTCTTCAACATAGTACCTGTCGTCTCTTCTAATTCTTGGTAAGTTTCTTGTTTTACTCTTTCTCTATGGATAGTTAGCTTCAGGGAGCTGCTAAAGGGTTCCTCCCAGAAAACTAGCCTTGAATGTCATGAAATGCCTCTCTATGGTGGAGCCCCATGGCTCCCTTCCTCCCTACTAGGTTTGTCAGATCATTGTGCATCAGCTCACCTACCAGTAAAATACGTGCCTGGAAACTAGACAGGTATTGTGGGTTGCATTATGGGAAATGTTTTATATAGATTATTAAAATTTTTTACTTAAAGCCCTAAAACTTACCCATATTTCTTCTCTTGAGTTTGAACGTGATACAGTAGTAGTGTCCTATACAGAGAATGTTAACCCCCAGTTGCACTAGCAGTTTATCTTGCATTTTCTTCAAATGTATTTATCACTTGATAACTATTTCCAGCTCTACTTGGTAATTTGTTGATGCCTATTACCATACTTGAATTTCACAAAATGTTACTCATTCTCACTCATTCAATCTTCTTTATCCCTTCTCTGGCGGTATGATGCCTACTTAATATCTAGCTTATTTTTATATTTACCTTATTCTAATTGCATATACTGTGCTGTAATTATTACAATACTGTACTGTAATTTCACCTAACCTGTGGACAGTAATAAAAGAAGCTCCAGTGGTATTTACAGTACATAGTGTTGATGTGGATAACACTGCATATTTTTAGGAGTTCTAGACATCATATGCTGAAGTAACATTTCATATTAGACCTTATGTATTTGAGCTTCAGATGGTATTATATGTGCTCACCTAGTTGTATTTGCAAGGGGGTGAGCCATGGCTTTTGGGTTCCACCTTCCAATTCTTAATCATCTGGCAGAGCTCCATATGAATTATGGAGTGAATATTATAGGACATTAATTATACTGTATACAATACCTGTATTTATACACAATATAAAATTTATTTGTTCTCAACTGATGTTTTTAAATATCTTATAACTACTCTATAAAAAAAAATAGAGCGAGTGAATGTGAGGATACGAGATGAAGTGGGGCTTCAGTGTTGGGGGGGTTACAATGGTGTGAATATTACACGAGAAATGGCAGAGAACAAGGCTAAGTGCAACTATGTTAAGGAGTACATGCTCTTTTTAGGAGGACAACTAATGAGTTAAATTTCAAGTATGTTTATTGAGACAAGAAAAAAATACATCTCAAAGGGATAGAGTAGCTTAGGCTATTTCTATCTCTCTAAGACAACTAATGAGCAGCACACAAAAACAGGCAATAAGACGACTGGAGTGCTGCTAATTCTCTATGATGTTCTCACAGTATGAAAGACTAATTTTAAATGTACAATACTCTAGTATATTCTTAACCATTTCCTGTTCCATGTGCTTGTCTTCTCCCTGCTGATGGCTCCCTACCCATTGGGAAATTAGTTAATCATGATGAATGGATGTATATACCATGTTGATACCTAATAACTTATGTCCTTTTGCAGTACTATTATGGTTATACAGTATTTTGCTAGTCTGTTGTTAGTCTCAGACATACTTGTCTGCAGTGCTGCCAATAAAGTTGCATAACATTGTTGTTACTGAAACTTGATAACTATTGTATACTAGAATACAGGATTCAACATGTTTGATGGCCCAGGTAGAAATATTAAATACAATCTCAGTTCAGCTTCAAACTGAATGCAAATTTGGAGACCAACTAGTATAAAGTCAAATGTGCAAAATCTTATTAGCCTAATGCAAAATTTTGCAAGGGTCACAGTTTACCTTTATCAGATTTAGTTTAAACAAAATTTATAAACTGTTTACATTCTTATTAATGCCTACAGCTGATTCCCTACAGTCAGTAGGCCTACAAAAAACATTGTCTAAAAAAAACAGGCCTACAAATTGTTGTTCTTCTTCAGTACTGTCACATTTTGTCCTTGGACGTCCCTTACTCATATCGTGTAGGGATCCAGTTCATTTAAATTTGTTCACAAGTTCATGAATCGTTTTGATCTAGAACCAAGTCTATGAAATTTCCTTGTAAATCTTTCTCTGATTTTATTATATTGCAATTCTTTAATATGCTATGTCGCAACAAAGATGCGTTCTTGTGTATTTATTATTAGTACAGTATTGTATTATGGTTCTGAAAAAAATTGACAATTTATAAATTTCACATTTATAACACATTAAAGATGATTACCATTACATTTTTTCTTATTTTAACCATCATAGCCTTTAATTGTTTCTGATTTCATATAAATTGGTAGCTAATTCTGAGACACCCTGTACATAGGAAAGAGAATGGTTAGCAACTACCAGATGTGACCTTTCCCTTTGAAATATCTCTGGCTAGGTTAAGTACTGTATTAGTCACAATTTTCTACTAATGGGAACTTTATAGAACAAAGGCCTACACCATATGGTCAGAACTGCATTGTCCTGCTAATAGTTGCACACTTCAAAGAATGTTTCAATTTTAAAGAATGGAAATTTTGCTTTGTCAGTAAAATCCTCCATGGATCAGTGTCTTTTGACATCAATAATCTTGCATTTCTGTTATTCAAAACAGTGGCTAGAAACTTCAGAATATTCTGTGACACAGTGCTTCTGGGGTTGATGCTTTCTTCTGATTACAGTAGTACAGTACAGTACTTTGTAGGCATGATGAAAATTTTGGTTACTGGGGCTTTGCATCATTTACTACATACTTATTTGACAGGAGCTCACTACAGTACATTCAAATTACTATTAGTAATCACCAAAAGAAAGCAAGTCTAGAAGCCCATACAGTATAGTGCAGTCTGTCAAAGAATATTTAGTATTATAATTGTTCAATGTTAGGCTCAAGGCAAAAACAAAGTACAGTATATCAATTTGTGAAATAAAATTCCTAGAGTAAAGTATAACTGGTAATAATTGAGGAACAAGAAAAAACAATAATAAGCGGAATAATGGCCCTTTTGGGTCCATTTATTTATTAGGACTTAACATGAATGCTAGAGAGCTCGAGGACCTCTCACTGGGTCCATTGTGACCGAGAACTGGGCCCCATGTCCTACACCAATCACTCCACCCTTGTTGGTGAATGTAATAAGTGTCTGTGACGTTGAGGAGTTGAGCTCAGAGTGGCCGCTGCTTCAGTGTCGTCTTTGCTTATCAAGATGTTAATGTGTCCATTTTCTCTCATGCAAAACTGAATTAGACTGACCCAACTTTTGCTTTCTTTTGCATCAGCAATAAAATTAAAAGAAATTGCCTGAAAAAGTTAGTACCTTCACATTTCACTGAAGTTAGACCACCGAGAGCTTTCTTTTCTGTCATCTGGGCTATTAACACATCCAAAAAAGGGCTGTGTTTTCTTCTGGATATATCTTGACAAAATAAATGAGCTATCAGCACTGACTGTCCCATGCCACAGCCGTCATCTGGATCACACTGCTACCCTGGGTGACAGACTGCTGGCCTATTGGTCTGGGGGTAGTGGAATAAGCTATATGGCTGGTTGGACTTGTAATCTGAAAGAGTGGACCAAAATCCTCCCTGTAGGACAGCTGGACTCGAGATGGCTCTGTGCCGCTTCACTGGTCAGCGGCTTGGGCTGCACCCACTATCTTGGTTCACAACACATATGGCAAAATGAAACACAACATTCAGACTTACATCAATGGTGCAAGATGCAGTGCCTGGAAGCCAAGTCAACCGACCAAGTACACTTTTTAAGTACCGCGCTTCACTAGGACTTGTAAGTACAAAAATAATAAAGTTTCATTGTACAGAGTTGTCTGAGTTTACAGTGGTGAGGTTTCCTTGACTCATAGTACATTGTACAACCTCTGGCTTGCTGAGTTCACATTCCCAGCCACCAGGTACTGCAACTGGCAGCACAATTATCAGTATCAGTCACATTGTTGACTTTTGTAATGATACAATTCAAGATCAAATGGTAAACTATTTCAATACTAGTAAAGCAGAAACAGAGGCAAAACAATGTGACACTCAAAATGCACAAGGGAAGAGAGGGAAGCACACTCGCTGAGTCACTGAGAGACTAGCTTCCGGGTATGACATTTATGTGTAGCCACAAAAATAAGTAATCTTGAATCAGGCTCACATTTTTCTAGTTAGAAATTTCTGACTTTAATAACAAATTATATAGATAATCAATAAAAGGTATTATGTTGCTCTTTCATTATTGCATGTAATAAACATAAAAAATAGCTACATTGGGACAACATTCAGATTGTAGCCAAAGTGGTTGCCTAACATCCTCAAGTATTTTGTAGTACTGTAATAAACTATTGTCTGAATGCAAAAAACAACAAAAAGGTGATCTTACACAGGGTTATCTCTGGCCTAGCCAACAAGTGTCTTAGCATGAGGAGCAAGGTAGGTCATTTGTTCTTCAGTATTACGTTCTCAATGAAAATGTGTGCTAAATATTGACTACGTTACTTTTATCAAACGGTATCCAGCTCTCATGACACTGTGCTTCCCATCTCTGCTTGTTATATACTACAGTATTCTAGGTTCAGTGAGGGGCCCATATTGTTTTTGGTTTTCTTCCCATGGTCTTGGCCAAGGTTCAACAATGCCAAATATGAATGTCACAAAAGCATAATATTCTTTTTCTTGAGTGAGTTTGGAACACAACTTGAAAATATCACAACATTGTTAATATCACAAAGAGAAACATTTTGTGCCTTTGGTTCATTCGAAATGACAAATAATAAGAAAAGTAAAACAGGACAGACTATTTGCAATGAAGTATTATGCAGTGATAATTTGTTTCCAAAAACATTTATGTAACAAAACAATATTCCTGAAAATTTGTTTTAGAAAAAATATAAATTAATGATAATGTTGCACCCTGCAGTCTATCTTGGCAGAGTGAGACTTCATGGAATTACATACAAAAATATCAATTTCTATGAAACAGGCAGAGTTTTCCATGAAGAGGACACATTGGAATAAAAATAATTCTCTTCCCATCATTATTTCCAACACTGAAGAGGAAGAATTAAATAAGTCCATAGTAAAGATGGGCAGAGAAGAGAATCTGCCCTAAACATAAAGCTATGTTACACACAGACACCAATCCATGTTTTGGGTTACTAACCTGGGTAATTAACAGTTAATAGGGACATTAAGTTATACAGCAAACACACTGCCCACAACTCTTAAGTCACTGCTTGAGACCTACAACATTTTCTTCAAACCAACTCAACATGATGACCACACTTGTTTTATGGTGCTGTCTATTACTTGCATGACTGACTACTGTTGTAATGATCGCTCAAGAGGTGTGTAAGAATTCCGGCCACTGTCCTACTATCTATCGACGGCTGTTTACCAAACCACATATCTGAGGTCATTCATTCCATTTTGTAACCCCTCACTGAGCATGTTTGACAGGATTACCTCACTAATAAACACTCGACTATTATGCACCCTTAGAATGGAAAGGAGCTGAAATGTAGACTTTCTGAGAGCAAGACCAGTTTTGTGCTGTGTCTGCTGCTATCACTTACATATTCTTTCCCTCCATTTCTTTTAAACATTGGCTCTGAATCTTCATGAGATTTATCATATGTCAAGAGCTTCTGATGTGCCAGAGTTATTAAAGTGAATGATGAAATGGCAACAGCTTAATCAATTTAAAGTTTACACATACAGAGCATCAATGTGAGGTTTGTTTATCAGTGTAACTTAACAAAAGAAACTCTCGAAACTAATTTTACATGATGTGAAAAAAATGTACAGGTACATACAATGCAAAGAAATTCTTTCATAAAAACAAGCCTATTTTTTTCTGGATAACCATTTTCTTAGTAATGTTATTAAAGCAGTCTATGTTTTTAATTAACAACACATTACACAATGAAAGTTAAAAGTATAAAGAAAAAAATCTACGTGTTGTATAACCATGCATGGCAATACAGTACTGTATATAAATGATTGTAGACCAGTTCTGACCTCATAAAATCAACAAATAAAACTGAGTCTGCATTAAAAAATAACTATCTTGCTACTTATCTGAATTTGCTACTAACAAGCAATCAAATTGTTGTTTACAGACCTAAAACCTGCCAGTCACTTACATCCTGGCAAACCAAGTAATGTTTCCTCCCTCTGGAGATCACGAGACGTGCACTGTTCACACATTGGGGTTTGCTCAGCTGTGTGTCAAATGCTACTGTATTCAAAACCAGTGTATTGTGCTGCAACACCAGAATTCCATTTAGTCACCATATGGTCACAAAATGCTTATTATTCAAGCAATTAACATTCATGTAAACTATTATAAGAATTTATACAAATGTAATATTTTAATGCAGTAATACCCAAATGGTTTTCATTATTAAATTCAATAATTCCTACTTGGCCAGATATGCTATGGCTATGTTTACCTTCATTAAATAACATTTCACTTAATGAACCACCCAAGTACATGGGCAATGCACTTGTCAAAACATTTAGATTATTAAATTACTGCTGCTGTTATTTAACAAACTCCTAAATTGGAAGTGTACCAAATCCACGTACAGTAATTTGCTCAGTAATCCTTCTGAAGCTATATCTATACCATGTAGGCTCTTATGCATTATAGAGCAAGCTGGCTTGTGTAAAGCTGTCTACAAACATTAAGACCTCTGGATGTTCTTAAGTGTACTGTGTCTTCTCGTCAATAATCCCTCACTAAATCTATCCATGTCTTCTTACTTTTACTTTTTGTACCCATTTCCACTTTCATTACTCAAGTGCACTCTTAGTTATTTGCATACCTTAAATTAATATTAGCTGTGGTTCATCTTTTTGCAGTACCCTAATAAATTAAGCCTTATTTTCATTCTACATGTTGAGAAGGCAGAAATCAACAATAAATTTGAAAACATGAGAATATGACTATGCTCTGATTAAGTAGCATTATATCTTGAAAAAGATAGAAAACTGAAAAGAATGGCATGTTCACTTGTTCACAGAAAAAAAATCATTCTTGTCACCCGAGATAAGGGAAATGTTTTTCCTAAAAGAAGGAACTATAACAATTTGTACTTATGGCACTTACTCTATCATAAATAAAAATTACTATTTACACAATACAAAATACTTTTAATTTGAAATCACCAGGTCAATTGCAGGAGGAAATCAGGCAGGTGTATATGACTGACCATCAACACTGAACAGGAAGATTAAATTACAGTACAAGAATTTCAAAGGCTAACGCCTTAGCATTGTGGAGATGGGAGGAGGGGGGGGGGAGCGCTTCTGTTAATACAAAAAAGAAGCTTATAAGATTATTTGTGTACATAATGGAATAATGCTAGGAGCATGTACTGTGGTGGGTTCTGAGGGTGAAGCCTAATACACTTTCCTCTCAAGTATGATGCTCTGTAATTTATGTCAACTCCAACATACAACATATGCATTATAATACTTTACAGGATCAAATTTTCTCTTGGTTATCCAGGACATGTTGGTAATAATTCCTATATTATTATTGGTCTGTAAAGAAGATATTTACCAATGCAGAATTTCAAGTAGTAAACACTAACGTAACCTTAACCCGATTATGACAACTCTGATCACCTATTGATCTCTTCAAAAACAAAGTAACCTTAAAACTGATGAAATTATCATCAAAGATACATTAGGAAAAACAGAATTTAAGGATGTTGTAATCTGCTAAGCATATGAGATCATTTTGGAAGAATTTATAAATAATGATTACAGTGCAAATCATATAGAATTATCCATTATTATTACAAATGCCAACTGTTTGAGAACAAGGTAAATCAGTTGTCTGATAAATTTAATAAGTTTCAAAATAATAAAAATATACACACTTTAAATAACATATAGAAATCCACTGAAACTTTCCAATAGTTCTCTACCCCACCCAATGAAAAATAATAAACTTGACATTTTCCTTATAATACCTAAACAAAATAATTTGCCTCAAGTAATGTTTTAGTTATACAGTATTTAACTGGTATGATCTGGGTAATTATATACAGTACTGAGAACAAAAATTAAAACCGAGTATTGATGCTGCCAACCCAAGAGCGAGACATTCGCAAGACAATTACTGATACACACACACGTACACACACAGCATGATGTACACACACAATCACCCACTCATAATCATGACAAACAGACTCGAGTGCAGGCACACACACCCATGGTCACATATGTGACAATAAGTGTAACCAAAGTTGCAAAACAGGCCAGCATACTTTCTAGCACTTCCCGCTTCATACTTATGTCAACATTTTAACATGAACAATTATTTCAAATTTGCTTGACAGGATAATCCTATAAAGTTAGCGTGAAAATTGTCAAGGGGCCGAGAAGGTATTTCAGCTACATTGCCATTCACTTGCTGTGTCTAATTTATGTAACTTAACCAAGGAGTTGTAAATAATGGCTAGGAAAACAAGTACTTGAAAACTTATAATTATAACTCTTTACCTGTGTTAATACACACCTTTAAGATAGCTTGCCACTATCTTTATTATATAAATGACTTTTCTAACATAAACATGCGGTGTCCTCGTGCATCACACACGGTGTTCTCATATAGCACACCACACATGGTGTTCTCATATAGCACACCACACATGGTGTTCTCATATAGCACACCACACATTGTGTTCTCATGTAGCACACCACACATGGTGTTCTCATGTAGCACACCACACATGGTGTTCTCATATAGCACACCACACATGGTGTTCTCATGTAGCACACCACACATGGTGTTCTCATGTAGCACACCACACATGGTGTTCTCATATAGCACACCACACATGGTGTTCACATGTAGCACACCACACACGGTGTTCTCATGTAGCACACCACACATGGTGTTCTCATATAGCACACCACACATGGTGTTCTCATGTAGCACACCACACATGGTGTTCTCATATAGCACACCACACACAGTGTTCTCATGTAGCACATAACACATGGGGTTCTCATGTAGAACACCACACATGGTGTTCTCATGTAGCACACCACACATGGTGTTCTCATGTAGCACACCACACATGGTGTTCTCATGTAGCACATCACACATGGTGTTCTCATGTAGAACACCACACATGGTGTTCTCATATAGCACACCACACATGGTGTTCTCATGTAGCACACCACACATGGTGTTCTCATGTAGAACACCACACATGATGTTCTCATGTAGAACACAACGCATAATGTTCTCATACAGCATGCAACAGAGTGTTCTTGGCCAGCACGTCACAGTGGTATTGTATAACTTGCATGAGAAACTGGATAATAAGAGCCAATATAAATGAACAAGGAGGATAAGATGTAAAATGCACGAAAGAAAATAACAAATATTATGTCACGAAAACTATTGAATAATTTATTTCCAAAGAAACAAATTAATGTCCTTCTTAAATTTCAATACACAATATATTGATAACAGGATTTTAAAATATTATTCCTTTTAGATTCAAGAGATTAGTTGGATCCTGATAAACAATTACTCTAGATCATACACTCAATGGCTGATCAGTAGACAATGTTCAACCACCTACTCATTAGCAGGTTTCAGACACAGCAAAAATGGTCAATTTTAAGAAAAACAAAAATTATAAAAGCCACACCTGAAAATACTTTGCTCTATTTGTGTTCACACCCAGAATATCAGCCTAAACAAATATGGAAACAAATAAAATTCTGCCTAAAACCATTCAGCTTTGGTCTTGCCATTCCTTGGCTCTTGACTTTAAGCCTCAGATGTCACAGTGCCCTTGGGGGTGTAGACCCGGGCGTTGGGATCCAATGTGGAGTGTTGTGGGTTTTTTGGAGCGGGTGGAGAGATGGGCGCAGGCGGGGAGATGGGGACAGGCGGGGAGATGGGGACGGGTGGAGAAACAGTGTGGGGACGGGTGTGTGCAGCAGGAGCAAAGCCAAGTCCACACAGAGAGTCCAGTGATGTCTCCATCAACCCATCAACCATCACCAGGGAAGCAGTGGGTTCCATACCAGAAGTTGTCACCTGCAGGATACAAGTTCTTGAACAGGCAATGCAATGAAGTAAAAGCCATGTTCAAAAGACATAAGTATTAGTTGATGTATTCAAAATTTTATAAAAGCCTAACATATAATTTAAAATTCTTAAAAATTAGGACTATTTATTATACTTTTAAAAACCTAAACATATAATTTAAAATGATTAAAACTGACAACAGTATTTACAATGGTTTTTACTTTATTTTTCCAGTAAAATGTTGCATTATAAAATACATAACCAGGTCAAAGCCATTATTTATTCATGTGCAAAGATGTAGTAAAAGAATGTTTTCATCTCAATGTTACATGGTGACTCCACAACAGCTTGATATAGTATTGAGAAGATCTTTCGGAGCAATACGATGAAATCGATAATGTTATTCCAAGGCACTGCCCCAAAATTATTTTCTCATAGCTATATCATGCTATTGTGATTTCATTGAGCATCTTAATACACTGAAAAAAAATATATATATATATATAATTTAGTCTTTTTAGAATAACCCTCTCTCCTCTCACCCTAATATGTAATTCACTATTTACACACACACCTTTCAAATTATAGGTGGGACAAAAGGGTTGATGAATAAAATACAAATGCACAAATGTTTCTAAGATGCAAACCTAACCTAATCTAAAGTACTGTAAATTTAAATGTAATTAGTCAATTGACAATAATGAACATGAAGTATTTCAAATATCTTTAGATTGCAGCTAATGGAAGAAGTTATTCTGGTTCTCCATATGAAACTTGATTCATGATGCAAACAATATTATGGAACACTGATAAAAATAATGAAGACACTGCACAAATACAGGAGCTGAAATGCACTCCCAACAAAGCTGTCAGTACGTAAGTATTACCGTATTTGTCAGGATATAAGACGCACTTTTTTATTTTTAAATCTATCAAAAAGAGTGCCCTGCGTCTAATGCGGCCGTATTACGAATGTGAGACCTAGTGGCATAGGCTAGGGAGCCGGACGAGAATACTGGGCAAGTTCGCAGGACACAAAAATTATTTCTAATAATAAAATATTGAAAGCAAGCCTGTTAGCTTGCAAGCTATCAGTCTGTTATCACAAACTTATGATATGTCGGCAGTTATGAAGGAAGCTCACATCTTACCCAGTACTGTATACATAATCCACACCTGATATGTCATACATCATTTAATGACTGTGTTACCTTTTAGACACATTTATTCATTATCTAAATGAAAAATGATCCTAGAAATTTTCAAAGGTATGTTCAACTTTCCTCTGCTTCTCAGCCATTTGCAATGCGTGAATGATAACACCACCGGTGTTGTGATGGTGCGGCACGACCGGGCGCGCCGCCCTGGTGACCTGATGCAGCAACACAAATCATCACATTCAGAAATACAAGTTTCACATCCTGTGTAGCAATTCTCTTGCCCAAAATATAAACTATTATTATGCTGATCTTAGAGGAGGTAAGAGTTGGGGTACAAAATCCACTTTAAAATATCTTTCAATAAATGTATGATGAAAAAGCTATAATAGTTTTTTTCCACAAAATATCCTCGTAAAATAGGGGTGTGTCCTATGTGAGGGTGTATCTTATACGCCAGCAAATACGGTGGTTTAACACACTCGTTCTACAGCTTGTAGTTGTTCTAGGGTGTAGATATTTATTTGATAAAACTACATAAAACTCTCTCAGAAACTGCTTTGACAAATTCTCTGTTTAATTATTCTACTGACCTGTGGTAAAAGCTTTGAAGTGTAATGAATGGGAGTCGAGTCCAGAGAGGCATTGTGGAAGCTAGTTGGGGGACACACTGCTAACACCTCTGTGATCTTGGCCTTCAGGTCTTCAATTTCCTTGTCTTTGGAAGACACCATTCCTAAGATGGAGATTATTTCAACAAATTAGAAGATAAGTAACCTGAATATTCATCACTAGGTAATAGTTTCTGCTTCAAAGAGTAACGTGGGTTTTGCCATAATTTATACCTTGTGAAATTTCCAACTGACGTTTTGCTTCCCCCAGAGCCGAGAAAAGGTCCAACTTTACTCTTGTTTCTGCAGACAGAGATGTCTCTAAGTGCGTATTCTTGTCCTGCATGGCAGAGAGTGCAGACATGAGCACCTCTGTGTCATTTTGGTTATCCTTGTACTGCCGTAAGGTCATATTCTCCCGCTCCGCATTTCGAACACGGTCTTCTGAAAGACGATGATCACGTCGCAAACGCTTTAGTTCTGCCTCAAGTTCATTACGACGACTGCGGCATGATTCACTGCATTCGCTTCTGAAAATGTCAAGTGCCCATTTAAGCAGTCACTTTATTATTAAAAGATCATCGATTTTTGTTAAGAATGAGCAGTACAATTGTTCCCTGAATAAAGGAACGGATTTGATTAAAATACTGTTCTGTACAGCATGGGGATAATTTGCAATGTAGAGTCTACAGCACTTAATCTTAATTGATTAACCAGTTTATGGGTAATATGATGTAAGTACACAAAATACTTGTAAGCAAATGGGTCAGAAGATGAAGCAAAAGGAAAACAAAATTGTAAATGCAAGAAAAAATTGCAAATGCTAAACAGAAGACAAATTAAATATAATTTCTACCACTCCATTAGGTAGCAGGATTTATATTATAAATTATATTAAAAACAAAAGATTAACTACTGTGGGTGTCAAACGTACTAATATTATGTATCTCAGACAGGGATGCTCACGCCATATCTGACCCTACCATGCGAGTCAAACAGATGATTTAGAGTACCACGTAAGATTTAAAAGTTCCACACGTGCACACAGGTTCACATTTGCTTTCTCAGGCCTCTAGTAATTAGATGCTATCTTGGAAAAAAAAAATCATGGGCATCCCTTGATTTATGGTGCATACAAATATAGATACTGTATACAGTATGTAATAAAAAAAATACTTTGTAATTTACTGTATGATGCAACTATAATTATTTTTAATTGTCAATGTTTTGCATGTTTTATTGAACTACAACAAAATGACACCTTAGTGAGCATTGTGAAAAAACTATTAAGTTACACTGAAAATAAATTGTTATGAATTTATTTGTGGCAACTCCCACCAATTGAATGGATCACACAACACCTCCCAAAGTTCACTACACGAGCGTCCATGAATTGGTGAAGTCCTCGCGAGATTTTTTGCTCATTTAAAGCCATGGTAAGTCATATTTAATTTTTTTATTATTTATCTGAGATCGGGGAACTCATTTTAACAATATGCGAAGGAAAAAATTGGGGCTATGTTTTCTCGTGCATCATGGCACAGTTAAGGAATAACATGTGTGGAGCCCAGGGGTTAATTATTATAGCAATCATAATATTGAAGGAGGCTTCAACAAGATGAAAACATTAACCAATCAGCTGCTCAAGCGATTCATGCAACACTAAAGTGAACATAAAATAAATTGATCTGGAAAAATTATTTGTTCTTTTGACATTGTTAATTAACATCCAGGAAGTTAAAAAAAAGTCCAAATAAGTCTTTATCTCTTATGGTTTAGCTGCAGTGGGCTGGAGAAGTTACTTTATTTTTATAGCAGAAATGAGATGAGGTGCCACATGGGAATAACTTTGTTGATTTATTTTAATTGTTTCTCGCTCTATTTATATATCGGGTAGTTTTTGGTTCTAATAAGTTGTTCTGATGTGTCAAAGATGGGATTCATTAGGTATAACTTGTAAAATATATATATATGTGTGTATATCACGAAAATAAACACGTGATTAAGAATGTGACAATGTCAGACCACGGAGGAAAAATGAAACAGGAAATTTCCTTAAGTACTTTCGTATATTAAATACATCTTCAGAAGGACCTTCTGAAGATGTATTTAATATACGAAAGTACTTAAGGAAATTTCCTGTTTCATTTTTCCTCCGTGGTCTGACATTGTCATATATATATATATATATATATATATATATATATATATATATATATACACAGATATTCATAATAAAATATATATAAACCTATATATAAGCATAAATCCTATAATTGGAATAGCACACATTTTGCATGAAATATATAATGGTAATCACTTATTTGTTATTGATAAAAGTTTAGTGGCTCCTAGTATGGCCGCCCTGCACATTCACACACTGGATGGTAATGTTGCCAAATATGGTCCACATTTTTTTTTTGTACTAAGGCTCTAGAAGGAAAGTGACGGACTCGGAAATTGTTTTCAAAATGGGGGGTGTGTTACTGTAGGCCTGAAGAAGCAATTGTGGGCCCCAAGTATGTGTAAGACTTTTAATTTTAGGTAGTTCCCTACTACATCATATAATGTGATGTGTAGTATGAGCATATTTAAGTACCCCATCATATGTGATGTGATGTGCAGCTGAAGGGCTAAATTAAAACTGCTTTAGCTGAGCTTGTAAATGGACTTCAACATAAGAACATAAAAAAAAAAAAACATAAGAACAATGCATAACATATATGCATTGATTTTTGGTTTTACATTCTTACTAATCATAGCTCCCAGACCCCTTTCGCAATCCGACTTCACAATCTCAACACTGTCTAGCTCGTGTCTTGTAACTGTCAACATTGCCTAGCCTCAAAACCTTACATTTGTCAGCATTAAACTGCATCTGCCAATCTTTTGACCATTTCAAAACCCTATTTAGATCGTCTTGAAGCGATTATGAGTCTTCAGAGTTTATTTCCATTACAATTTTCATATATGAAGAGAGGCTAGAAGTGTTAAATATGCTAAAGCTATAAGATAGAAGAAAAAGAGGTGAAATGATCACCATTTACAAAATAATAATGGGAATTGACCAAACTGACAAAGAGGAATTCCTGAAACTGGCAACCTCAAGAACAATAGAGCATAGTAAGGAAACATAGATCATAGATTAAGCTAAGGAAACAAAGGTGCCGAAAAAATATTAGAAAGTTTTCTTTTGCAGAGAGGTAGACAGATGAAACAAGTTAAGTGAGAATGCAGTGGAGGCCAAAACCATCAGTAGTTTCAAAGCGTTATACAACAGAGTACACGGATAAATCATATTAATGTGATATATCAATGAACAAATCCAACAACGCCTGGAAACACCTAGTGCATAGGTTCAAACCCTCATCAAGGCTCCTGTTGGATTTGTTATATGACAGAGTGCTGGGAAGATGGGACATCACGAGCATAGCTCTCATCCTTTAAGTACACACACCATCTCTCCCACACACACATGTACACCCTCCATTTTATACACATACATACACACCCCATTCCCCACACACAAAGATTTTACACAACATGGAATGGTATAAAACCATTGTATGGGTTTACCCTTTCTGGGTACCTGGACACAGGTCAAAAATGGCACTCATGGGCTAAATTCTTCACACTGTGAAGAGAAACTCTTCACATCATTTGTCATTTGTAGCAAGAGGACAAATAATGGCACGTAATGGGTCAAAACAAATATCAGTTCTAGGAGGCAATATCAATTTGTTAACAGTACTGTATGCACAAACCATGATATGCCCCACACAAACTGAAGGTATGCAAGAGATTTTTGTGATAAAAAGAAAAAACTTACTTGGCAGTTGCTAAAGCATGTGCTCTAGCCTGAGCTTGCTCTTCAACTTTCTTTTGTCGCCGTTCTAGCTGCGATACTTGATTCTCAGCAGCAGTGCGAGCACGCCGTTCTTCCTGAAGTCGACGTTCAAGCCCACTAATTGTTGATCTATCATTTTGTCGCGCAGTTACCAGCCCATGAAGTCTAGAAAGAATAAATAGGCAATACTGTAGAATTTGTTTAAATGCAAGCCCTGTTGCAATCATCTATCATAAAACTTACCAGTATCTTGAGGTTATCTTGAGATGATTTCGGGGCTTTAGTGTCCCCGCGGCCCGGTCCTCGACCAGGCCTCCACCCCCAGGAAGCAGCCCGTGACAGCTGACTAACACCCAGGTACCTATTTACTGCTAGGTAACAGGGGCATAGGGTGAAAGAAACTTTGCCCATTTGTTTCTGCCTCGTGCGGGAATCGAACCCGCGCCACAGAATTACGAGTCCTGCGCGCTATCCACCAGGCTACATAGGCCCCATACAGTACAGTACATTTATTTTAAAAGTGTGAACTGTATACAGTAATTTATTTTACCATTTGATATCAAACATTATTTATTTTATATGAACATTTTGCCAAATGACTTTGCTCAAGCACAGTACTGTATCCACTTTCTTATATATAGGTAGGCTATTTTTCTATATTATAATATATGAATTGATGGAATAGTGGAATCTTCCTAGAAAGGACCACCCCAACAAAAGCTTATCTCATTTATCAATGTTGGAAATTAACATGTAACATTTCAATCAAAATAAAGAAATGAGTTTCTAAATTATAAAAAAAAAATTTAAGGTATCAGTGTACCTTTTAACAATTCATCAAAACTAACTCTTTGGCTTTACAGGATAAGACATAAATTGTTGTGTAGCCAAATAAAATTTTATATATTAGATTAAAAATTTGATTTTTTTCAAGTAATTTTGATTCTGAAATGTGCACAGACGTGTGTTCTATCTATTACTAAATATTTTTTCATTGTCTAGTCAAATATTTAAAAAAATCTCTGTACAGTGTAGATTAAAAAACATTAATAGATGCTGTCATCTCCCAATTCAACAGTGGAAAGTAGTCAATTTTTAAAGCAAATAACAAACAGACTTTTTACTGGAAATAGAGCAAAGCAAAATTATATACAGTGACTTACTTATTTTGCAAGTTGTCATTATCTTGCTGAAGCTGGTTCATCTCCTGCCTCGTAATTTTATCACTTGAAATGAGTGTATTTATCTGATTGCGTAGCTCCTGCTCTGTTTGCCTCGATGCTTGCAGGTCTGCCTTTAACCTCTTGATGTCAGCTTCAAGCCTGAGGAAGGATATTAATCATTTGTTGTATACAAATCAAATTAATACATCATCATTAGCCCATTTCCCTACTGCCTTGAGGATAAGAGAAATAAAATCTAAGGTAAACAAAAAAAACACTAATCTATTTGCCATATCACAAACTATACATCAGACCCTTCCTATTCACTGTTTGTCTATTTGTAGATAATAGAATCTTTCTATTATCAAAAAACTTTACAAAAATTGTTTTCATTATTGAATTAATCAGTCAATGGCAGGGAAGAGGCAAGGACTGAACACAAAAAAAGCAGAAAGCCAAAACATGCAGGAAAGTACTCTCCTGCAAAAACACAGGAGAGCGAGCGGGGAACCAGACCCACACGATTTCGGGCCGAAAGTGTCATCGACCCTGCAAACAGCATGCCGGAAGCAGAACAGGTGATCTCCACCCTGAGACAGGGGCAACGAACATCATACAAACTTGCACAAGGCGAGATGGGACTCGGAAGACACGTCCATCGATCAACCAAGCTCTGACGGGTTTCCAGGGCCCATAGGGGGATATATCCCTATGGGAAGCCTAGGCACTGGTGCTGTCAAAGCCGGTTGTAACCCTGTATATTATCCGGGCAAACTGGCCTCTGTGAGGTGAGCAACCTTGGAGACCCAGAGGACTGCCAAACTGAACCTAGGTATCACCTAATAGAAACCCCAGAAGCCTCCCAATGGGCAATAAAGAAAACTAAAGGTAGAAAAGAGAACCCTGAGGAAGCACACAACACAGCGGACCAGAAAGAGGCACAGCCACTGTGATTATGCAAGCTGTGCAGCCCAGTGTGCCCCAACAAGCAACAACCATCCCCCCGACTCAGGACCAAACAAAAGTACTGAGACCTAAGCTGACCCCAAGGGCGGGGCAGAAGCCAAGCAAACGCTGCCTCTACGGGAATGGAAACCCAAAGGACGAAAAGAAAAGAACTCTGAGACCCAAGGGGTGTACTTATAGGGTGCTTTAGGGAGCCCTAAGCGCATGCAGCTCTTGGTACCAACTTCTGGCCACTACCACACCAACACACAGCAGGAACATCACTCGGGTGAAAAACCTGTCAGGCCCACCAAGACCAGGGTAGAAGGTACTACCTTCAATACAGTATTCTCTTCTTAATAAGCAACAGCTCTGTATATTCCTGCTAGAAATGAGCAAGTCCAAACAGGCAAAATTTTTATCTCCAAATAAAAGTCAACTTTCATTTTGGTGTTTCTCTTTTTGTGCTCCATTTAACCTTTCACTAACAATGTCTAGTGTTTGAAAAAGACAATTTTATGTACTGATTACTAAACACATCCCCTATTAACTTTTTCCTCTTTACATGCCAACAACCACATGATCTTCTATTATAGGAATGTTTTTGTTCATAAATTATACTAAAAAAAATTGTGTTTATCTGAAGTTCACCAATACACAACTCCCTTTCAACTTTCATTAAAATATGTATAGTTAAACAAGATGCACAGACTATTTTAATTGAATTTTCTAAAAAAAAAATGTAAAAATAAAATACTAAAGATACTATTGTGAAAGAGAGTTAGGAAAGCTGACAAGAAAATGCATTATTAAAAATCAATCTACAACCTACAAATCCTTTTGAACATTTGGTACAAAATCAGTATCAATATAGAGGCATAAATTACCGAATAATGTTGACAGTCTCCTCCTTGGGCCCATGAGTACTGTCTTTGTTGCTTTCTTTATTTTTGTTTTTCTTATCTCTGGAAACAGGTCCACCGCCCCCTGAGCCAGAGTCCCGCAAATTGTTTGTATGGGATCCTGGAATCTTGGCTGATCCATTACTCTGCAAATATTAACAGAGAAAATGAATTTCCATAAATAAATTATACAGTAATAGTATTAGAGAGGAAAAAACAGTTGAATAGTCAAGTACAGCACACAAAAACTGCCTTCTTCACTGCTATATATACTATTATTTACAAATTGTTAATTCAACTCATTGTATGCCTTCAATTGTATTAACCACTAGAAACTAACATCTATAACCATTCTGAGTCTTGACTGCGTTTCATTTCCTCGAGCAAGTTTCTTTCTAGGATAGTTACCATGCATTTTTTGCCCATTTCTGAAAGTTTGAGTAGCAAATTACATACAATGTTGCAAGGAAGAGACCTTTGTAGTGGGTGTGCTAAATAATGTGGGTTGGAAAAGTATATTTCAAAACTCCCACCAGTTTAGCAACTAGCGCAGTTCGTGCACAAAAGCATATTTACTTTGGGAGAACTGCATTCCCATTTGGGGGCAATCAGGTAAGTATAACAGGGTTCGGGTATTTATACATTAGAAATGATTGTTTGCCTCGTTTCTCTGAAGCAGCTGCTTCATTTGTTGCACCTACAGTTTTTTTTACAGTTTTTGTGATTAATCTCCGATTTCCTGCTGCCTTCACCTCATACCGTGAGCCAGATTTTTGTTATGGCTTCCTTCCTTTAACTGACCTTTGGATCTTGGAACCTTTGTGTCTTAAGCTAAGACTTCCTGGTATCAGTTAAGCTTGTGAAACTAATAAAGGGTTCCTCTCAGAAATAAACCAAGATCACTGATACCTATATAGTCCAATGATGCATCAGCCTTTTAATATACCCTTTTTTTATTTTTAGGTTAAACATTTTCCATTTAATGTAATGTTATGTGAGTAAAGTAATATTTAAGATTTGAGAGATTAACACAGCTTATGATGTTTATGACACTATTGATATTATGTAATGCAGTGTTGTACATATTCTTATACAAATAAATGTTAATGGAATATTATAATGGTTTAAGTTTTTATCTTCATTAAAAGTGAACCACATTAAATAGGCCCCAAAACACAGAGCCAAGAATACTTTGACTGCATAATATAATGTGTGTATTATTGCATCTGAAGCTATAATGAGCTCACTTATATGATAAACAGTAAGATGTATGTAAGGGACCACGTAAGTAGTAACGTTTACATTCCGAGCAACCGTACCTGAACTGAAGCATTAACACGCTTCTTTTCAGCTTCTAGACTGCCATTGAGGCCAGAGGTTTGAGTGGAAGAAGAGCCACCACACGGAGTGCTTCCTCCGGAATTAGTCTTCGCACTCTTATCTTTCTCCGCTTCACTTTCGTCATAGTCGTTCACAGACTTGGACCACCTAGACATTCAAGGCAACAATTGCAATTATTACATACTATGCACAACAAAATACAAGACATTTAAGGCTCCCTGCAACATTTTGGAGATGTATAAGAGCACAGGTGTATTATCTTCTAGCAAACTCTATGGATTGAGCTATGAGTTCAGTTATTATTAAATTATATTAGTAGTAGTTTATTTTTTTCATGAAGCTTCAATGTAACAATAAAATGCAAATAGAATGAATGTTCTATTGAATGTTCGAAAAGACGAAGCCAGAGGCTTTCAAAATAATAAGCAACGTTAAACATGCATTAAAACTGCAAAACTGATGTGTATCATAACAAAAGAGAGGGAACTAAAAACAGAGGGGAGGGGATGAGAGGGAAGGGTTGGGGGGGGGGGAAGAGAGAGAGATAAGAAGAGCAATGCCATCTTAATACATGGGCATCTTGGGCAGTTGCCCATGGGCTTCATGCCACTACAGTACAGTATATTTATTGTTCATGAGAGATCTCTTTGGCAGAGTGGATAACTACTCCACCTCCCGCTGGAAATGCTGGGGATTCAAATCCCTTTTTAATTTAAATTTATAATATAAATAATTTGTGAATAACTGTCTAATAGTAATCCTGTATTTTAGTGGACAGGCAGGACCCATCACATGGTTGGGTGGGTGGGGGGTGGGACCCATGTATTGCTATGCCTAGGGCATACAATGCTATTAAGATAGCCCTGAGGACGAGGGCGAAGATGGGGGAAGAGGGGTGAGAGAGAGGGGAGGGGGAGAGAATGAAGGGGAGGGGGAGAGAAGGAAGGGAAGTGGGGAGAGAAAGTGCAAGATGTGATAGAGAAAGGGAGAAAGGGAGAGGGAGGGGGAGGAGGTAAAGGAAATATGGAGTAAAACAATTACAATACAATCCACATGGTAATGCTATCAGTGAAATGATAACCCAGTTCCAGTGCATACCAAGAATATAGTGTAGTAAATAAGAAAACTACATACCCTTTTTTCTGCATATATTCAAGCTCGGCATGAATGGTGCCATTAGGAAGGCGATTTTTATCTGGCCGGTGTATAGGTGGCGGGGGACTATCCTCACCAGGATGGTTTTGCTCGGGCAACTTCGTTTCAACCCGCAGCGCTCTACTTCCTCTGCTACTACCAACACAACCACCCCCACTCCCTCCCACAACACTTCCACCCCCTCCCCCACCACCACTTCCTCCTCCACTACTACTGCTGTTGCTACTACTACTACTACTACTGCTGCTGCTACTACTGCTACTGCTACTGCTGCTACTACTACTACTACTGCAACTGCTAATAAGACTGCAGTTTCCTCCTGTACAAAATAGAAAAAGAAAAAAGAAATAAGTTTTACATAGGAAAAGAATATCCTTAATTTCATAGTATGATTCCGAATTCAAATACATTAATGAACTCAAGGATATACTGGTAACAGAATTTAAAGTGCATTACTAAATTCACCATCTTCAAAGAACACACTGTAAATGAATTCAAAGTACAGTACATTACATCATTGAATACCAAACACACAGTAATACTGAATTAAAAGTATATCACTCAATTTAATCATGATGCTAGTACTGTACTATTAATCAGTACTAGGTGCACTGATTAATTACATTAATCAGGGGCAGTCCGGGTCTCCCCACCCAGGGGACAGGGAGCTGCGTGAACAAGCAGTGGCGGCGGTGGTTAACATTTGTTTATTTTCCCTCGTTTTCTTGTGCGGAGTGCTGTTTCTCTATTTGGTCTTGGTTTTTTTGCAATTTCCTACCATGTGGAGTTTGATTTGAGATGCCTATCTTTCTGGGTGCCTAACCCTAGTCGATGGCAGACAGTGAATACCCCCCAAATACAAGGGGGTTTCCCTAGGCCATTGCTCCCTGCGCCTCTCTGAGGGGACCAGGTTCTGCCTCGTGGTCGCCCGGTAGGCAGAACTCCATTGACTGAAGCCCCAGACTAATATTGCATATATCAGTTCTATATAGCTTCAGGGAGCTGAAGGGGCTCCCCATAGAAAAGTTCATTCTGTATTATTAAATTAGCTAAGATGATATGTTCTAAAAAACTGGGTATGTAACTAAGGAACCTAACCTAACCTGATGTGACCAAATAATCCTAGACATAATATATACCATCCACTAATACACACATCTTAAGATAGTATGTGTAAGTACATATATGTGCTCACTAGGCCAAGGAATGCAAGTTCTTTAATTTATTTTCTGTGGCCTCTACAAAATTAATACTGTACTAAACATGAACATTGTTGGCTGCAAAAGTCCACTTTTGTATTTTTGACCAAATAGTTACTATAAATGTTATAATTTTAGGAGGATGGGTTGCATTATTGACATCTGACACTGTAAACATAACATGAATGTAGAATCATTGAACCCTACAGGTGGTCATTAAGGGATCATTGACCCTTTAAATTTGTTAAACTGAGTACACACTATAAAATAAGTGTGTTTCGGAGTTATCACACATAGCTGCCATTTAGGGTAAGATCAGCTATGTCCACAGGACACAATTTTTTACTTATAAAAATAAAGCCTCATGTATTTAAAGGTAACAACTTTGATTCAACTAACAAAAGAGAGAAAACCTTGCTCTTAGCCATTTTTATACTTCTTTATAATAATAGTAATGATGTTTATTGGGGTAAAAGTACACACATACAAAATGAGTTACAAACAGAATGTTGGATTTCTTGATAGTGCTAGTACATACAATGCCTAAAGCCCCTAATACACACAACATTTCGGGCAATGTTACAGTGCCAATATACTTTACAACTCTCCCCCCCCCCTGGAAAAATTTGTACAGGTGCCCCTCCTCAGATACAAGTGACACCAACAGAATTCTTACCTGTGTGGTTGATGGAGGCCGCAGTAACTTCCACCTCACTACTGATACTGAGATCTTCACTCTTCTCCTTCACACCTGTCAAGGACCAATACAAAGTTGGTGAATTTAAATATGCTTGTAATAATCCCAGATAACCAACAAATACAGAAATGTGATGTTGGGTCACGTGAGCCATCGTGAGCAAACACCAGGTTAGGGTCACGTGAGCCATTGTGAGCAAAACTCAGGTTAGGGTCACGTGAGCTATTGTGAGCAAAACTCAGGTTAGGGTCACGTGAGCCATCGTGAGCAAAACTCACGTTAGGGTCACGTGAGCCATCGTGAGCAAAACTCACGTTAGGGTCATGTGAGCCATCATGAGCAAAACTCAGGTTAGGGTCACGTGAGCCATCATGGGCAAACTCCAAGTTACAAATACTGTATTAACAAAAATTGTAACAACAATAGGAAAATTGCACGTCGGTATGCTTACCTACTACAGTACCATGGGAAAGAGAAATCTAGCACTTTTTGCCGTGCCTATTAGCCTTTTAATCCTGGCGAGCTCATCACATCTTTCGACATTCAAGTTTTGTCATAGGTAAGGTAGGTAGCTATCAGGAGAAAGTGCCTTTAGTGATTTCTTTCAATACATTCCACTTGTAACCACATGTACATGGAACAAGAATTTCCTAATATGCTATCTCAATGACTCATTTGCATATCCAGTTTTCCCTGATATCCCTAACACCCTATTTTCTCACAATTTAAATAGGCAGTACTTATCCACCTTATGTATTCCCCTCAGTATCTTGTATAGAGTGATCATATTCCCACTCTGCTGCTTCTTTTCTCTAAGGTTGTGAAGTGGAGTTCCATTAACACTTCCACTGCCCAATGACGCATATTGCAGCATAAAACCAAAATACAGGGCATTGCCAGATGATGTCAATAGGCGTCAATAATTTTTCAAATTTAGAAATTCCATTTAATGTCCGAATACTATGGGACTTGTTTTAAAACGTGTGCCAACATCTGCCCATTCTCTGTATACCCCACGTGGCATCCTGACCCCGTCATGTGAGCACCCACCCACACTGGAGGCTCACTGTTCTCATGACCTCGCTTGTGACAGCCGAGGCCTCCCCTCGAGGCGAAAAGTTTCCTTATTCTTGTTATTTTATCTCAGGTATTTGTTGTTACTGGCTTTATAAACACTGCAAATTGCCTTCCAGATGGATACTGATCAAGAACAGAGCCAATTCATAACAAAAGCAATGACAGCAACACGTATGAGGGAAACGTTATTGAGTTTTCATCAAAAGAATGGAAAAGTTACTTATATGTTCTTATATGCAAATATCCATTTACAACATTCTATTGCGAACAATTTGATACCAAACTGAATGACATAGCATGAAAACTGAGGTCAGAAAGCTGGAAAGAGAATAAACATTGGAGTGGTGAGCTTTCGGGCAACGCTTGGGCACCTTGCAGTGCACGGCGGGATTAAAGTATAGGAAAGAGACATATATATTCTTATATGCAAATATCCCTTTACAGTATTCTATTGAGAACAATTTGATACCAAATTGAAAGCAGCAGCACGAAAATTGAGGTCAGAAAACTGAAAAGAGTATAAACATTTCTGCGGGGTGGTGAGCTTTTGGCCTACCTCGCAGTATGCGGCGGGTCTAAAGTACTGTTTAGGAAAGTGAGACATATGTTCTCATATGCACACATTCATTTAGAGCATTCTATTGCAAACAATCTGATACCAAATTGAACGTAGCATGCAAATTGAGGTCAGAAAACTAAAAAGGGGTATACACATTTGTGTGTCGAGTTAAGTGCGCACTGTTTGAGTCGCCTGCCGGGGCAGCGACCCGCCACAGTTAGTATGTCTCCATATTATGTCGGCAGTTAATATGTCTTCATAGCTCAACCCTCTCAATTCTCTAATGCTAGTCTCATTACAAACCTTTGTACTTTTTCAAGTTTCCTTTAGTGCTTCACAAGCTGCAGAATTATGCTGCATACTCCAGTAATGATCTCATATAGACAGTGTATATAGACAAAAGGCCTCCTTTTTAGATTTTTAAATGCTGTTCTTGTGTTCAAGAACTTACCATATTGCTAGCATTATCCTATTTTTATTCAGTTTGATAACTTTTTTTTTTTTTTTTTACTTACTCCCATGTGCCCAAAGACTAAAATCAGAACATCCACGTTCCACGACTCATCCTTGGAAACCACTGCCTCTTAAGCTCTGATATTATATACAAGGAAGCATGATGTGTGTAGCATGCATTGGTGTGATTTTCAAATTGATTTAGACATTTGAAATGGGGTCAATTTCAGTATTGGTCTAGGGGCCTCAGTATTACCATTAATGGACCTTTCCAAGCTAATGTTAATTGTTATATTTATATACCATGGTCAATCCTAGACTACTGCGGCGTTTAACACCTTGTATTCAACCCTCTGAATAAAAAAACTAATTTTGGCCTCAATAAATAAGGATAAATGATCTGATAACTTTATCAGCACAGTAACCTATATTATTATCAGCACTTTAGCATCAATGAAAACTAAATATAGATCTAAAGTACAGTGCTATACTTTAATATCAGTACTTTACAGATACACAACAAACTGAGAAAAGCCTATCATGTTCAAGCCCAAGAGGCTTGCCTTAAAAGCACTCATATGAGATGAGTGCATCTGAAAAAATTGTGACACATTCTCACCAATAAGACTAACCTATTGTCTGAAATATGTATACTGTACTATTGTGACATAAAATAAGAGTAAAATATGCACCACCAACACTTGATTTTTATAAAGACATTAGGTGACACTCAACACAAAATCTAAACATTGGCTGCCACACAAATTATCAATACACTTACATTTATCAGGACTAGATGTGACTTGCAACTCTGGTGGCAATGCCTCTTGGAGTAGTTGCAAATAAAATTCATTTTCTTTTGCAACTTCACGCTGCTTTCTCTGTGGGGAAAATTTTTTTTTAGCCACTATTCATTACTTTTGTTTGGCAGTTTTGAGTTTCTGAATATTTAACATGCTACAATACGTTAAAACCTTAAAAATTTAATAACCTGAGAAAACCAAACTCTTCCTTTAAATATATAGGCAGTATGCTCTGAATTGAAATCTCAGCTGTTGACTGACAACCTTTCAAGTCAGATTTTTGTTTTTTAAATTTCAGTTTTCTAAGAGTCACAAAGTGAGAGCTATGCAGAAGACTATACAGCTAAAGCTGTTTAGTATAAGAAACCTTAATTCAGAGACTATAATATGCCTGAGAGCTCATTCTTTCATATATGTTTCCTATAATTACATTTTGGCTACTAAATGAGAGCATTTTTAAACTTTATTTTAAATAAGATTTTATTACATAACAAATCAGCCTCTGTGATCAGGAAAGAATAATGTAAAGCATATGCAATCCTTTTATATGAAATACAATATCAGTGCTCACCTGTCTCAATCTGTACCCAACATAACTTTTTAAGCCGAACCCTAAAGTTACTACTGGGTACCCAATACTGAAAAGAAAAAAAAAATATAATAGTCACCAATCAAACATTTCCTAATGGACACATTATAAATAATTACAATATTACAGAAAACGTTTAAAAATTTCCAACAAAAAGGCAGTGGAGATGCACAAGTGGTTTCTACTATAAGTACAACATACAATTTTACTATACTGTACTGGAAGTTTATATATTCAAAGGGATAATTATGTACTATATATAATAAAAAGGTTACAATTTCCAATATTCCAACTTATTCTTCTGCTTAGATAGTAGTTTTTGTAACTATGTGCACCATAGTACAAAGGTTGCCATTCTAAGCAAATGGATAGTAGAACTTTGTACTATTCGCTTTATAGTCGGAAAAAATTAAGCTAAAAACAAAAATATTCCTAGGCCTAATATAGCACACACATGTACAATATTATGCCTCAGATATAGTGTATTAGGCCTAGGAAGGTTAGGTCAGTTTAGTTTGTGTTTGCAACATAAGTAGAAAATAGTTTTCTGGTTAATCCAACTCAATAGTGCCGATTTCTACTTTCTAATTTTGTTGTATGTCGTCGTTACTGCAAGTATACTTACAGTACAGTACTACCAAAACAGAAGGATGGGCTGAATATTCAATAAACAAGTTACAATCATCAAACTAATTTGAATCATACTGCAATTTGTTAAAATGTGATTACATCTACTAAAATCTGTACATTAACATAATACACAATATGAACGGTACATAATTATAGTACATAATTAACACACATTCATGTTGACAAACACAGAGAAGAAGGACAGAAGCAGCTTTATGTATCCTTCTGACAGGCGAAGGAAAAGAGTGGGGGGGGGGGGTTGTCAACACAGTACTGTATATAGAAGAAAAATGAATTTTTATACACAAACTGTACTTATCTTCAAATGACAGCACATGACTGCACAGCACATAGTGCCAATGGCTGACAAATATTATGAGTAACAGTATTTTAAAATAATATTTTTAAGATATTACTGAGACAGAAAATAAGTAAACAGCAAAGCACCTTGATAAGATATATTAAATTAAATTAGTTTTCTGGCACTGTGAGAACTCAATGCAGTACAATACTCAAGAGTATACATATATACAGTACTATGTAAGCAAAACATTCATTCTGTAGAGAATAATACTCATAAAAAATATTAAAGCTATTAAATTGATTAAAATGAGTAGTTACTCACCAATGTGCAGCAAAGGGTCTGCACAAATCTAAGTGGAAGGGAACATTTTTTATATCTTTGAGGCGCACAAGTGCCTCAATGTAGATGAAGAGTGCCCACAATATTACCGTGGGCATACACACGCCACGTTCTGCAATATGGAAGCACATAACAGTTAATTAGGAGTGACAGCAAATGGTACTATGTTTGTTTCAAATGGTGACACTATAATCAAAACAAATTGAAGTGTTAGCTATAAAAATCCTTTAATCAATCCATTAACACTTTCATAAAGTAACTAAATCTGCTGTGGCTTACAGTTAATCACAAAATGTCATCAGCCAATTTAAATTTATTTTATGTCAGCAAAATTAAAACCCTTAAGAAAATTTTATGCTAAAAACTCATAAGTGTACCTGTGTGCCAGACAAACTGGACCCAGACGTAGGTGGAAGCGGCGAAGAAAAGCCAATTCACCGGGATGAAGAGGAGGCAGATCATGTCAGATGTTAGTGCCATGCACACAAACAACACGGAGAATGCCTGTAATGAGACAATATGACTGTAACGACTCACTAAGGTGCAGTTAAAAACCAGCTATATTTAGAGGACAATAGTGGAAAATCATTCACATGCTAATATAGTATACTCAAGCTTACATGTACGCTGAACATACCATATGTCTCTAGAAATAAGAAATAAGACCACTTTCTTTACATTACAGTAGAGTATTTGATTATCCAGTATAGTTGCAGAGAAACTATTTCAGGTAAATGTTTTATGACAAATAGTTATTTCAATAACTTTATTATGATGATAATGGTTTAAATTAAGGGGCCGGGAGACCCAAAAATATTCACATTTAACAAAACTTACTGAAAAATGTAATACAAATCTCCAATTATTTGGCAACAGCGTCATGAAAATTTCATCCCAATATGTTAAAAATGGATTTTATATGAATATTTAAAAACAAAATAGTTCTGATTGCAAGGAGAACAGCTCCTATTAACTGGAACCGAGAGATAATGCAGTGATAAAGAAATGCAAGCACCTGTCCGATGCACAAAGAAGAATAGTAGTAAGGAGGGTCCACAGAGTGGATATGCAGCTGGTGTCTTTCTAGCATTACTGAGTAATACATAATAACACAAATAATAATGAGTAAGTATGATATTATGCTGCACCTGTATTTTGTTATACATCACATAAATACATTGCTCAATGGCAATATCTGTTAGCTTTACCAGTGTCCAACAATTTTTTTGGGAGGGGAAGGTTATCTTGAGATGATTTCGGGGCTTTTTAGTGTCCCCGCGGCCCGGTCCTCGACCAGGCCTCCACCCCCAGGAAGCAGCCCGTGACAGCTGACTAACACCCAGGTACCTATTTTACTGCTAGGTAACAGGGGCATAGGGTGAAAGAAACTCTGCCCATTGTTTCTCGCCGGCGCCCGGGATCGAACCCAGGATCACAAGTCCAGTGTGCTGTCTGCTCGGTCGACCGGCTACCTAGAAGGAGCAGGGGAAGGGGGGGGGGCAATTTTTGTTTTTTCCTTTGTTTATAATCAGATTTTACTGTAGCTTTTACATGTTGGGAAATGCATACCCATCACTATGTATGTAAAGGGTGAACGAAATTGGTCAACAAGTTAATCAGTTACAGGTGGCAGAAATTATGATTTTTTTTTTTGACGAAAATTTTTACAGATTTCAAACTCTATTCTCTTTGTCTCTTTGGGTTGTTTTGAAGAATGGGGACCAGATGCAGGCCTTATCACTTAAAGTATACTTATTACTGTAACCTTATTAACCCATTAACCTTATCCCTATACTGTAGTTGTTTTTTTAGGGGATTATTTTTCTTGACTTTATTTCAACACATATTGACCTACAACTTTCACATATTTGAATACGAATGCCAACCAATATTTATTAAAATTTACTAGATATGACAAATTCGAACTGCTATATTTATTGTCGAGGAGTTTACTTTCATTTTTCTCCATGAACAGGACTTTCAACTTAGAGACAAGCTGTTAAATTCAGTTTCTGAGCAGTTCTCATCATTTTTACATACAGTATGTGCAAAGTAATTAGTTCTAAGGTTTCTTCAATTGCGTTTATTCATATACAGTACCTATAACTTTGGGAGTTATAAATTTTTGCATCTAAATTTTGCACATACAGTACAGTATTTTGAAGGCCAAAGTGACTTTTTTACAGTAACTTTACTCTCAAACTCAATTTTAAATTGAGGAAAATGAACATTATATGCCATTCTGAGCCCATAATGAATAAAATAATAATTGGTGAAATATTAAATTTGTCAGCTTAATTTGAAATTGTACAATTTTCAATATTTTTTTTTTCCTGTCCATGTTATGATACTGAACCATTATTAAAAGTTGGAGTATTTACCATGTAGATTATGCACAAAACGTGTGCATAATCTTTCCAGTAATTTCCATGTGTACATTATTTTATTTCACTCTCATCTTCTTTCTAGGAAGTACATTTGGAGAACTTTGAGACAATCCCAATAATTTAGGTACAGTACTTCATTGTGTCTATGTATGCCGTATATGTTCCCTGCATTCCCTATACTGTATTTCAGTAATCTCTCCCACTCTGAAGGGGAGAGTGATTATCAAGCAGTACTCAAGACGTGACAGTACAAGTGTTTTGAATAGTACATATACCCATTGTGATGGGATCCCTGGATTTAAAGATTCTCGTAATCCATCCTATCATTTTTCTGGCTTACACAAACATTGCGTGGTTATGTTCCACAAACGCTAGGTCGTCAGATATCATTATTCCCAGATCCCTTATCTGCTGCTTTCCTACTATGAGCAGATTTGATTGTGTTTTGTATTCTGTATTTTGTTTAAGGTCTTCATTTTTACCATACCCGAGTACCTGTAATTTATCACAGTTAAACATGTTATTTTCTGCTACTCGGTCAAAAACTTTGATTAATATCTGCCTGTAGTTTTTCAATGTTTTCAACAGAGGTAATTTTTATATTGATTTTTGTGTCATCTACAAAGGATGATATGAATCTGTGACTTGTTTTTTTGTCTATATCTGATATGAGAATAAGGAAAAACAATGGTGCAAGGACTGTACACTGGGGTGCAGAGCTTTTAACTGTGCTTGGACTCAATTTTATTTGGTTGACTTATTATGTGTTCTGTTCGACAAAAAATTTATTATCCACCGTCCTACTTTACCTGTTAATCACATTGACCTCATTTGTATGCTATCACTCAATGGTCACATTTATTGAATGCCTTTGTGAAGTCTGTGTATACCACATCTGCATTTCATTTTTCTTCTAATGCCTCAGTGATTTTACTGTAGTGGTCAAGAAGCTGTGAGAAACATGATCTTACTGCTCTAAATCCATGTTGGCCTGGGTTGTGGAGATCATTGGTTTCCATGAAACTGGTGACCTGTCTCCTAACCACTCTCTCAAATACTTTTAATATGTGGGACGTTAGTGCAACTGGTTTATAATTCTTAGCCAATGCTTTGCTCCCTCCCTTGTGCAGAGGAGCTATGTCTGCTGATTTAATTGCATCTGGTATCTCCCCCATGGCCAAGCTCTTACTTCACATTACACTGAGTGCCCATGCTACTGGTACTTTATAATTTCTTTATAAAAATTGAATTCCATGAGTCTGAACCTGGGGCCGAGTGAATGCTATCCTGTTTTATGAATTATCTGAACACTCATTATTCTGAGTGAATGCTAAAATGTTGTCAATTTTTCTTTCAAAATCTTTTGTACTAGAAAATGGTAGTGGCTCAAGAAATTGACAATGTCCCATTTTCTGTTTGTGGGTCCTCTGGTAGGTTAGGAAAAGGCACTTTAGTACAACAGTTTCTTGACATTCTGAACTCTCACGAGAATGGACTGTGTCCAAACTGATGGCGGAATAGCCAGTGAGCTGTAACCTGCCCCTATCTCCCCTCAAACGAGGAGAAGGGTGGAGTGAACGAGAGGGCGCTGGTTTATAACATTATCAATCATTTGTTTACATACTGTAGTTTGAGGAGTTCTATGGCCATTTTCGAGTTTGCAGGTATTGGAAGCAGCCAACTGTGGTTTGTTTTGTCTCACTGACTTTCTGGACGATTCCCTTGGTGGTGGCATAAATGAACAACTTAATGCATAAATGCCACAGCTCCCTGCACCTCTGTGAGGAGACCAGGTTCTGGTCCTCACTAGGCCAGAGAAATCTACAACTGATGGCATCTAATAGATAGCACCTACATTGGAGATGGTATCTTCAGGAAACCACAAGGGGCTCTCCCAGAAAAATTAAAGAAATTTTTGTTATACATTCAAGGTCATATGTCATGGCTTGTCATCTTGAAGTGAAAAAATTCAATATTTACTGCAAAACTTCTTTTTTAGCTTCAAAACAAGTCCAACATTAAGGTTCTACCTCAATTAGCAACAAATTATGAATTTTTGTTTGTTGACCCTGTATGTACAAATTTTGTATTGTTTCACATTGACAACCCTGCTTTTAGACTATTGTGCATCACTTAGGGCTAAAATTTTACACATGTAAGTTACGTCATGTACTCTAACATCCAACCAAATTTTATGTAAATCTGAGATGGTTGGATCAGGAGCTGTGATGATTTGGCATGGAATGAACCTTATACTTAATCACTGAGCTATGGTTGTCAAAGACTGCTTAGGAAACACCAAAGTATTATGTAGTCTCTCAAGAACATAAATGGTTACTCACTCTCCCCATGGTCTCACTCTTAGACAAAGATAGATACCCATATTAAGTAACAAACTGAATATTTCAGCCACAAGCAGATCACCCTCTGGGAATGGATGAATATAAGAAATAAGGCACAAAATGGTATACTTACCAGACCCTGATAGCGGAAAGAGTCGTAGACACTACGCAGAAGCAGCCAAAAAGGCCACAAGTATTCAAAGCGGAACTCCAGAAGGAAATCTGCCGCCAATACAAGCAGCCATACCAGGAGAAACTTGATGTACACAAAGGTGCTGTTTGAACAAATAAACAGAAAAATCTATTAGTACCACACTTTTGAATCTTGTTTATTAATAAATTATGCTGTACTTTTCTTAAATAGAGTAATACTATCACGTTAACCTTAATATCACTTATAACGTATGTGATATGCAAGTAATATACAGTATGCTGGATATTACTGCATTTCAAGGAACAATAATTCTTATATTTATTACTGATATGTCAACACGGTATTGTATGGTTCTATAGCAGAAGGGCAAAACAGGCCTTCCACAGCCAGTGTACCTAAAGATAGAAAGGGAGTGGGAGCATGGGCGACAAGCACCAGGGGGACATAATAAACGCCAAGGGGACGAGACGAATGCCCAGGGGATGTGATGAGCGAGGGGATACGTGATGAGCACTGACGGGACACAATGAGTGCCGAGAGGACAAGATGAGCACTGACGGGACACAATGAGTGCCGAGAGGACAAGATGAGCACTGAGGGGGTTATGACAAGTGCCTGGGGTATATAATGAGTGCCTGTGGGATGTAATGAGTGCTGGAGAGACATAACGAGTCCCGATGGATGTGATGAGTGCCAGGGACATGGGATATGACATGGGGGGGAGGGGACTTGATATGTTTGGGGGGGACTTGATATGCTTGGGGGGTGGGGACTTGATATGTTTGAGGGGGGAACTTGATATGTTTGAGGGGGGAACTTGATATGTTTGGGGGGGGGGGGACTTGATATGTTTGGGGGGGGGGACTTGATATGTTTGGGGAGGGACTTGATATGTTTGGGGAGGGACTTGATATGTTTGGGGAGGGACTTGATATGTTTGGGGGGGAGGGACTTGATATGTTTGGGGAGGGACTTGATATGTTTGGGGAGGGACTTGATATGTTTGGGGAGGGACTTGATATGTTTGGGGAGGGACTTGATATGTTTGGGGAGGGACTTGATATGTTTGGGGAGGGACTTGATATGTTTGGGGAGGGACTTGATATGTTTGGGGAGGGACTTGATATGTTTGGGGAGGGACTTGATATGTTTGGGGAGGGACTTGATATGTTTGGGGAGGGACTTGATATGTTTGGGGAGGGACTTGATATGCTTGAGGAGGGACTTGATATGTTTGGGGAGGGACTTGATATGTTTGGGGAGGGACTTGATATGTTTGAGGAGGGACTTGATATGTTTGGGGAGGGACTTGATATGTTTGGGGAGGGACTTGATATGTTTGGGGAGGGACTTGATATGTTTGGGGGGGGGGACTTGATATGTTTGGGGGGGGGACTTGATATGTTTGGGGGGGGGACTTGATATGTTTGGGGGGGGGGACTTGATATGTTTGGGGGGGGGACTTGATATGTTTGGGGGGGGGGACTTGATATGTTTGGGGGGGGGACTTGATATGTTTGGGGGGGGGACTTGATATGTTTGGGGGGGGACTTGATATGTTTGGGGGGGGGACTTGATATGTTTGGGGGGGACTTGATATGTTTGGGGGGGACTTGATATGTTTGGGGGGGACTTGATATGTTTGGGGGGGACTTGATATGTTTGGGGGGGGGACTTGATATGTTTGGGGGGGGGACTTGATATGTTTGGGGGGGGGGGACTTGATATGTTTGGGGGGGACTTGATATGTTTTTTTGGGGGGGGACTTGATATGTTTGGGGGGGGGCTTCGAAATGTGTGGGGGGGGGGAGACTTGATATGTTTAGGGGGGACTTGATATGTTTAGGGGGGGACTTGATATGTTTAGGGGGGACTTGATATGTTTTTGGGGGGACTTGATATGTTTGGGGGGACTTGATATGTTTGGGGGGGACTTGATATGTTTGGGGGGGACTTGATATGTTTGGGGGGGACTTGATATGTTTGGGGGGGGGATTTGATATGTTTGGGGGGGGATTTGATATGTTTGGGGGGGGGAGACTTGATATGTTTAGGGGGGGGACTTGATATGTTTAGGGGGGACTTGATATGTTTAGGGGGGACTTGATATGTTTTTGGGGGGACTTGATATGTTTGGGGGGGACTTGATGTTTGGGGGGGACTTGATATGTTTGGGGGGGACTTGATATGTTTGGGGGGGACTTGATATGTTTGGGGGGGACTTGATATGTTTGGGGGGGGATTTGATATGTTTGGGGGGGGGGGGGGGATTTGATATGTTTGGGGGGGGGGGATTTGATATGTTTGGGGGGGGGGACTTGATATGTTTGGGGGGGACTTGATATGTTTGGGGGGGGGACTTGATATGTTTGGGGGGGGGGGGGACTTGATATGTTTGGGGGAGGGGAAACTTGATATGTTTAGGGGGGGACTTGATATGTTTTGGGGGGGGGGGAGACTTGATATGTTTTGGGGGGGGGGAGACTTGATATGTTTAGGGGGGGAGACTTGATATGTTTGCGGGGGGCGACTTGATATGTTTGCGGGGGGGGGGGGGGGGGACTTGATATGTTTGGGGGGGGACTTGATATGTTTGGGGGGGGGGAGACTTGATATGTTTAGGGGGGGACTTGATATGTTTGGGGGGGACTTGATATGTTTTTTTTGGGGGGGACTTGATATGTTTGGGGGGGGACTTGATATGTTTTTTGGGGGGAACTTGATATGTTTGGGGGGGACTTGATATGTTTTGGGGGGGGACTTGATATGTTTGGGGGGGGGACTTGATATGTTTGGGGGGGGACTTGATATGTTTGGGGGGACTTGATATGTTTGGGGGGGGAATTGATATGTTTGGGGGGGGGGGAATGATATGTTTGGGGGGGAAATGATATGTTTGGGGGGGGGGGAAATGATATGTTTGGGGGGGGGGGAATGATATGTTTGGGGGGGGGACTTGATATGTTTGGGGGGGGGGACTTGATATGTTTGGGGGGGGACTTGATATGTTTGGGGGGGGGACTTGATATGTTTGGGGGGACTTGATATGTTTGGGGGGGACTTGATATGTTTGGGGGGGGACTTGATATGTTTGGGGGGACTTGATATGTTTGGGGGGGGGACTTGATATGTTTGGGGGGGGGGACTTGATATGTTTGGGGGGGGACTTGATATGTTTGGGGGGGGGGGGGACTTGATATGTTTGGGGGGGGAGACTTGATATGTTTGGGGGGGGAGACTTGATATGTTTGGGGGGGGTCTTGATATGTTTGGGGGGGACTTGATATGTTTGGGGGGGGGACTTGATATGTTTGGGGGGGGACTTGATATGTTTGGGGGGGACTTGATATGTTTGGGGGGGGACTTGATATGTTTGGGGGGGACTTGATATGTTTGGGGGGGACTTGATATGTTTGGGGGGGACTTGATATGTTTGGGGGGGGACTTGATATGTTTGGGGGGGGGACTTGATATGTTTGGGGGGGGGGGACTTGATATGTTTGGGGGGGGGGGACTTGAGACTTGATATGTTTGGGGGGGGGAGACTTGATATGTTTGCGGGGGGGGGGGGGGGGGACTTGATATGTTTGCGGGGGGGGGGGACTTGATATGTTTGCGGGGGGGACTTGATATGTTTGGGGGGGTCCTTGATATGTTTGGGGGGGACTTGATATGTTTGGGGGGGGGACTTGATATGTTTGGGGGGACTTGATATGTTTGGGGGGGACTTGATATGTTTGGGGGGGACTTGATATGTTTGGGGGGGGGACTTGATATGTTTGGGGGGGGGACTTGATATGTTTGGGGGGACTTGATATGTTTGGGGGGGGGACTTGATATGTTTGGGGGGGGGACTTGATATGTTTGGGGGGGGGGACTTGATATGTTTGGGGGGGGGACTTGATATGTTTGGGGGGGGGAGACTTGATATGTTTGGGGGGGGACTTGATATGTTTGGGGGGGGGGACTTGATATGTTTGGGGGGGACTTGATATGTTTGGGGGGGGACTTGATATGTTTGGGGGGGGACTTGATATGTTTGGGGGGGGACTTGATATGTTTGGGGGGGGACTTGATATGTTTGGGGGGGACTTGATATGTTTGGGGGGGGGACTTGATATGTTTGGGGGGGGGGGACTTGATATGTTTGGGGGGGGGACTTGATATGTTTGGGGGGGGGACTTGATATGTTTGGGGGGCGGACTTGATATGTTTGGGGGGGGGGGGACTTGATATGTTTGGGGGGGGGACTTGATATGTTTGGGGGGGGGGACTTGATATGTTTGGGGGGGGGGGACTTGATATGTTTGGGGGGGGGGGACTTGATATGTTTGGGGGGGGGGGACTTGATATGTTTGGGGGGGGGACTTGATATGTTTGGGGGGGGGGACTTGATATGTTTTGGGGGGGGTAGACTTGATATGTTTAGGGGGGGACTTGATATGTTTGGGGGGGACTTGATATGTTTGGGGGGGGGTAGACTTGATATGTTTAGGGGGGGACTTGATATGTTTGGGGGGGACTTGATATGTTTGGAGGGGGGACTTGATATGTTTGGGGGGGGACTTGATATGTTTGGGGGGGGGGACTTGATATGTTTGGGGGGGGGACTTGATATGTTTGGGGGGGGGGACTTGATATGTTTGGGGGGGGGGGCTTGATATGTTTGAGGGGGGACTTGATATGTTTGGGGGGGACTTGATATGTTTGGTGGGGGGGGGGGGACTTGATATGTTTGGTGGGGGGGGGGGACTTGATATGTTTGGTGGGGGGGGGGGGACTTGATATGTTTGGGGGGGGGGGGACTTGATATGTTGGGGTGGGAATTGATATGTTTGGGGGGGACTTTATATGTTTTAATATGTAAATGAACAGTTTATAACCATACACATTTTAAATATTGTTTAATCTAAAGATTAGTACAGTATGAATGAGGAATGTGAATGAAAGGAGCAACTTGTCTCCATACATTGAGTAAACCACCTGAATAAACAGCAAGACATACAGTGAGAATTGAAAAGGTTCCTCATGACTAAGTCCCTTACAAATAAAGAAAATGGTTGGAATGAGCTTCAGGATGCAAATTTGAGCTGAATCCACTAAAAACCTTACTAATATCCAAGATATTAAATCAAAGAGTACAGTATATCATGACGATACTCTTGCAACCACACGAACAATTCCACACACATGACGATGCTGATGTGGGTAGCCCCAGACCTCCACATTACAGGCTTCATCGTGAATAATCACAGACCATGCCAGTTAACCATATTTTTCTAGGCGTTCCTGATGTGAAAGGTTTCGTTAAGCTAGGTTAGGATATATATGTTGCTTTTAATTTAGAGCACTTTCAAAAAAGGCAACAACCTGAAACAAGCTCTTATGTGTGCCTCAAGTTGCAAAATATATGCAAGAAAGGGCTATAATGACTGAAGATGCAAGGATGAGTCGTCCATTTTCTAATTCATCCCTAGTAACAACCCACTCTTATGGATATGTTAAGTTAGGTTTGTAATTTGGGTAGTATGGCTACTTTAGGTTAGGAGCAAGTTAGGGAAGACTTGCCCTGACTAAGACTGCCAGCAACTTACCATAATGGTTGACAATATGGCATACATTCTTGGCAACTATTGCTTCAATTAAGCAGCAATTCTGGCCTTAACTACAATTATTTTCTCGACGCAACTTCTAAATGTGTCTAGCTCTAGTCTGGTGTGGAGACGGCAACAGTGGTGAGGAGAGGCCACAGACTTCACCGTCGCCCTTCACACACTTCCTAAGACACCGGGGCTCCCCACAGATTACGTCTCTACCTCTTTGTGACTTTTTCCCGTTTGCCTTGCTATCTCTGAGCTATATTCATACAATTCGCCAAGTAAAATACAAATAAGGTCAGCCATATTTACAATTTTACCTACCTTCCGTATAATCCTTCACCAATTTTGGTCCGTTTTAACGGTCTACGAAGCTTAGCACAATCCACATTTCTCCTCTTCATTATTTAAGCTTTTATTTTTTTACCCCATACATGTAGTACACAGATCCAAAGTCGAATATCATTTAAATAAAGTTGAGTGTCTGTTGTATAGAGTACTTTGTTGTTGTGTCAGCCATGTAGGGAGTATAGATGAGTGAGCCGGGAGGGAGGCGCGACCGTCACTTGTCTGGCTATAGGCGCCTGGGGAGGATCGCATCCCCCCCGCGCGACCCGACCCCACCACCACCGCTCTCACTCCCATTCCAAATGTTTTAGGCCAAAATGACATTTTTCTAAACACGGGGAATATGGAAATTTAGCCATCTCTCGAGACCGGTTGCGCACGCACCTAATCTACCAAAGAAAAGGAAAACCATTACGGGGGAGTGAGTGAAGTCTCGCTGGCCAAACATCGCATTTGGCGTCAGCGGTGAGGCCCGGGCGCCAGCCTCACCGCTTCCTTGTTTCTTAATTGTTATAATCACCTTCACACTGTGTGATCATCACTGGATACCTGAATGATCACTAATTACGCTCTCCACTGTTTTATCTAACTTGTATTTTAACCTTAAATGGTCAACTGTAATTTGAAATGCAGCTTAAATCCTTATATTGTTATTGATGAAATTTTGCAATATTTATATATATGTTTAACAATAGTTAATTAACAAAATCTGTGCATGAAAATCCTATATATATATATATATATCTTTTGAAATAATTTTAGCAGCCGGAAAATCTAAAAAAAAAAGACAATCACAATACCTCATTTGAAGCAATTTCTACAATTTTATCCCTTCGGGTTGTTAATTAATTTCGTATGAATTCGATCACTTGATAAGCTTATTAATTAATGCGATTGGATATAACATAATAATATACAAGGAATAAAGGGTAACACATTTTATTTCACACGTTTAACAGCGAACTGAGGTAAACAAAGAACATGTAATTGATTATGTAAGAATGTGATCCGCATGCGTACGTGTGCGTGTGTATATGTGAGCGTATATGCGCGTGTGTATATGTGAGCGTACATGTGAGCGTACGTGTGCGTGTGTATATGTGAGCGTATGTGTGCGTGTGTATATGTGAGCGTATGTGTATATGTGAGCGTACGTGTGCGTGTGTATATGTGAGCGTACGTGTGCGTGTGGATATGTGAGCGTACGTGTGCGTGTGTATATGTGAGCGTGCGTGTGTATATGTACTCACCTAATTGTGCTTGCGGGGGTTGAGATTTGGCTCTTTGGTCCCGATGTGAGCGTATGTGTGCGTGTGTATATGTGAGCGTGCGTGTGCGTGTGTATATGTGAGCGTACGTGTTCGTGTGTATATGTGAGCGTACGTGTGCGTGTGTATATGTGAGCGTACGTGTGCGTGTGTATATGTGAGCGTATGTGAGCGTGCGTGTGTATATGTGAGCGTACGTGTGCGTGTGTATATATATGAGCGTATTTGTGCGTGTATATATACCTGGTTGATGGGGTTCTGGGAGTTGTTCTACTCTCCAAGCCCGGCCCGAGTCCAGGCTTGACTTGTGAGAGTTTGGTCCACTAGGCTGTTGCTTGGAGCGGCCCGCAGGCCCACATACTCACATATGTGAGCGTATGTGTGTACTTACCTAGTTGTGCTTGTAGGGGTTGAGCTCTGGCTCTTTGGTCCCGCCTCTCAACTGTCAATCAACTAATGTACAGGTTCTTGAGCCTACTGGGCTCTATCATATCTGCACTTGAAACTGTGTATGGAGTCAGCCTCCACCACATCACTACTTAATGCATTCCATCTGTTAACTACTCTGACACTGAAAACATTCTTTCTAATGTCTCTGTGGCTCATCTGGGTACTAAGTTTCCACCTGTGCCCCCTTGTTCGTGTCCCACCCGTGTTAAAGAGTTTGTCTTTGTCCACCCTGTCAATTCCCCTGAGAATTGTGTGGGTAGTTATCATGTCTCCCCTTACTTTTCTGTCTTCCAGGGATGTGAGGTTCAGCTCCCGTAGCCTTTCCTCGTAGCTCATACCTCTCAGTTCCGGGACTAGTCTGGTGGCATACCTCTGAATCTTTTCTAACTTTGGGTTGTGTTTAACTAGGTATGGACTCCAGGCTAGAGCTGCATACTCCAGGATTGGTCTTACATAAGTGGTATACAAGGTCCTGAACGATTCCTTATACAAGTTTCTAAAGGCAGTTCTTATGTTGGCCAGTCTAGCATATGCCACTGATGATATCCTTTTGATGTGGGCCTCTGGGGATGTGCTTACCTATCAATAATTGCCGGTCAGTGACTATACGAGGCACAGATCCTTTGCCTCTCATTAGTCTAATCGCCGAGGCTTCATTTATCTCTGAAATTCTGTCCCCAATACCCTGTAAGTTCAATCATATCACCATTATCTCAGTAATAGTAGTTTTTGGGCCATGAGAATAATCTTGGGATTATTCTCGTGGCTTCATTTTATACCTTCTCCAACTTGTTTAGGCTGTCTTTACCAAGACAAGACATGACAGGGGCAGCATGATCAATAAGAGATCTCACAGTATGCCATGTGATCACCATTGGAATATGAAGTATAGAATATGATTAATAATTGTGTACTGTATGAGTCTGTGAACCCCTTGATGGACCTTATATAGACGAAGGTAGAAATAGCCTAAGCTACTCTATCCTTCTGAGATGTTTTTTATTTTCTCAATAAACTTACTTGAACTATACGAGGAAGTGAAGTCTATAGCTCCTTATATCCCGCCTACTAACTTTGTTGTACATGTTGTGTTATAGTTTAACTATTCTGGCGTTCTTATTCTTTGTTTACGCTGGCCTTAAAGTTGTGGATGGAGGTGGCTTCCACAATATTTTCCTGCAGTACATTCTACCTAATTAATGGCCACCCGCACTGGATACGAGTACTTCCTAACATTTCTTAGATTCCGGTATTACCAGCTTTCATTTAACTGTGTCCTCTAGTCTCAATATCTCTAAATTTAAATAGGCTGTCCTAGTCCACATTGTCTCTCTCAGTATCTTGTATGGTGTGATCATATCCCCTCTGTTTTTATATATATACAAGAATTCTTACATTCTTGTAAAGCCGCTAGCACACATTACGATGGGCAGGTCCTTAATCCTAATTTTCCCGGAATACGACCCGCCAAATCGTTTACATAATTGCATATGACATAATTGCAACACTAACATCAGAGGCACACATAGGCCAGGGGGACATTGCCAGCATTTATAGGACGCTGGCGAGCATTTAAGCGTCGTTTAGACACCTAAATCAAAACCGTCATTAGAAACCTAAACCAAAATAAAAGTCTACACAGCTTATGTTAGACTGAAATATGCAGCTCCGGCCTGGAATCCATATACCTTGTGAAGCATTCAACTAAGATCGAACAAGTAGGAAGGTTTGCAACAAGAGAACTATGAGGATAGGTTGAGGGAACCCAGGATGGGACGGAAATTTTTAGGTACGTTCCATTTCACATAATGCCTCTGTCCACCTAGCACTAATTAGATAAGTGGGTTGCATCCTGGGGAAGGTCAGTAGTTTGACCTTGGGGGACTTCGATACAAGCCTAAAGTATATATTATATACACACTCGTCCTGTCCCCGACAACAGGAATTATAAAGAAAATATATCGCATGTATTGTAAAGCCAAATAAAGATAACATACGAGATAACGTTGAAGCCTAGTTGGAACATACATATATATATATATATATATATATATATATATATATATATATATATATATATATATATATATATATATATATATATATATATATATATATATATATATATATATATATATATATATATATATATATATATATATATATATATATATATATATATATATATATATATATATATATATATATATATATATATATTGTCAATTAGATTAGTTACCTGCAATAAGTCGTAATATACCTATCGCGGGTTACCAGGCCCCATTTTCCCCCTTATACCCGCATATACCACCAGCTCAGGTGGTATATTCCCAGCTGATATGAAGAGTCCCTCAGGAAACGACGAGATAACGCCCATCTGTTCATGTCTGGAGTCTGTGTCACAGTTGATGTACCTTGTGTACAATGGTTACTGTAGGTACTTGTCGGTGGTACCTGCACGTACCATTACCCCATACAACCGAGCACACTGTATGTTCGGTCCGTCCCATAGATAGAGGATGGGGGGGGGGGTAGTAGATCATAATAGACACTATTTATCTAGTACAAGTTCAAGTACGTTCATTGAGACTATAAAATACATCTCAAAGGGCTTATCTAGGTAACAGCGTGGGCTGTTACCTAGATAAGGATACCGGTTGAGCTCTAGGGGCCCCGCCTCATAAGATGATTGATAAAGATTAAGCCACCCAAAAGGGGGCACGGGCATGAATAGCCCGTAAGCCTCATAAGACCTGTACCGGCACTTGTATATCTCCCAACTCTCCAGTTGCGAGGCTTGCTCCTGGAATGGTGGGGGCTGCCACCTTCAGTTCAAGCTCATTCCACTTGTTTACCACTCTGTACCAGCATTTCCTTCTGTTGCATCTCACCTGAAAAGGATTGAAATTGAATTGAAATTGAAATAAATTTATTGAGGTATAAATACACACAAAGGAAAGAGGTAGCTCAAGCTATTCTCACCCCGTTTAGCACAACGTGTTCAAACATATATAGACACACATCAAAAACAATGAACATATTACCGAACATTCTGAGCGATGAACATATACATTTCTTCCTTTACACATGTAGTATGTTACCAGATCATGATCCACATCATGCAGTATCATAAATCTTTCCGTTGTGAAAAGGATTGTATATATCTAGTTTGTCAGTTCCCGTCAATATCGTGTACGCTAGGTTTATGTCTTCTCTTGCCCATCTGTTTTCCAATGTCGTTAGCTGTAGTTATTATGGTGATGATGTTTGTCCAATCATCATCACGTTACATTAATTTACTTGATTTTTTTTCCAAATATTTTCAGGTTAGCCGACAGGCAGTGCCAAAAAATGGTGGTAGGGTTGTGAATGTGACCCTGCCACGCTGTTCCTGTTTGAACAATGGCCACCCCATTGGGAGCCGGTCGGCCGAGCGGACAGCACACTGAACTAATGATCCTGTGGTCCCGGGTTC